AAAATTAAATAATCTTTTAAATTTACAAAAAAAATATAAAATATTAATATAAACCAACGTAAAAAGCTTAAAGAAATATTTAACAAAATATATATTATTAAAAAATTTATATATATTAAATTAAATATTTTTATATGGTTTTTACTTATAATAATATATAATAAGTTAAATAATTTAAAAATAAAAAAAAAATACCTATAAACTTTAATAAAAATATTAAAGACTTTCTTCCACCATTTTTATTATTATTTAATATATATTAAAATTATAAATACTTTTTAATAAATAGTTCATTTATAAAACTATTTAATTTTAAGAATAATAATAAAAGTTTTAACAATCCAAATCTTAAACAATATAAAAATATCCAAGAAAATATTAATTTTCCTAAAATAAATAACTTTAATTAAAATAAAAATAACATATATTCTTATACCATAAATAAACTTTATAAAAATAAATAAATTAACAATTAAAAAAATAATTAAAAAAATAATTAAATAAATAATTAAATAAATAATTAAATAAATAATTAAATAAATAATTAGTTAAATAATTAATAAAATAATAATTAATTCAATAAAAAAATATTTAATAATAATTAATTAAGGTTAATTAATTTTATACCTATTATATTTATTCTTTTCTTAACCAATTATTAAAATAATTATTATAATAATATATTATTATTATTTAATTAAAATATATTTAAAACCTTATACCAAAAAAGATTTTAAATTAATTATATTTATATTTCTAATCAAATTAATAAATATTAAGAGAAATTTATACTTAATAAAACTATTAATTTATAACTTTTTAATGTTTTTATTTATAGAAATATTTGCCGTTAAAGTTAAAATAAAGGTTTTTTAAAAAAGTTAAATACTTAAATTAATCCATTAATAAAAGACGGAATAATATTAAAATTTACAAAAATATTAACCATAAATATTATAATAAAAAAATAAAAAATAATAATAAAATTATAAATAATTTTAAAAATCCAATTATTTAATATTTATAAAAAGTTAGCTTATATCAAACTTATTATTATTAAAGCATAAATTTACAATAATTTTTTTTAATATATATTTCTTTATTATATTTTATATTTAAAATAATATTTTATATTTTAATATTATTACCTTTTTTTATTAAAATTAAATAAATAAAATAAATAAAATAAATAAAAAATAAAACTCTTTCGTTATTTTTATTTTTAATTAATTTTAAATATTTATTTATTAACTTTTTTTTTTACTTCTTAACCTTTTTTTCCTTTATTTTCTTATACCTTTAATCCATTTTCTATTTAATTTTTTATACTTTTAATCTTATTTTTTCTTATTTTCTTATACTTTTAACCCCATTTCTTTTTATTTTTTTATACCCTTAACCCCATTTTTTCTTAACTTTTTTACCCTTTAACCCCTTTTTTATTTAGTTTTTTATACCTTTAACCTTATTTTTCTTTAACTTTTTTATTTTTTAATCTTTTTTTTATTTAATTTTTTATATTTTTAATTTTATTTTTCTTTAACTTTTTTTTTATTTAATATTTTTACTTTTTAACCTTATCTTTTTCTTATATTTTTTCCTTTTTATTTTTTAATATTTTCTTTTATTAACTTTTTAATCTTATTTTTTTATTTTTTATTTTTAATTTTATTCCTTTTTTTTTTAATCTTTTACCTTATTTACCTTTTACCTTATTTACTTTTTATATATATAGGTTTTTTATATTTTTTAACCCTTTAACTTTTTATACCTTATTATTTTTATATATTTTCTATATATTTATAAATTATTTTATACCTACGGTTTTTATTATATTTTTAATTTTTTCCGTTTAAATATAGTATATATTATATATTATATTATTCTTTATTATTTATATTTATATTAATAAATATAATTATTATTTTTTATTATTTATATTATTATTAAAAAAACTATTATAATTTAAATTTTTAATTAAACGGCGTATAAATTTAATTACATTTCCAAATACGTTTTTTAAGTTAAAATTAAAGGTTTAATTTTAAGATAAAGGCTTAAAATAAGAATTTAAGATAAGATTATAAAATAAATATTTTAAAAAAAAATATTTAATAAAATTGTTACTTTAAATATAAATATTAAATAAAAATAATAAATAAAAGTTTAATATAAAGTTTTTTATACACATAATACTTATTATTTTTGCTTATTTATTGCAAATTTTACTTATAAAATTATTATTAATTTTTATTTTTACCTAGCTTTTTACTTTTATAACTATAAATTTTTAAAAATAAATTTATATTTTAATTAAATTTATTTAATTTTTTTGTTAAAATTAATATTATTTCTATTATTTTATACTTAAAATAAAATTATTTATTACTAATATTTAGTTTATTATTACCGGTATATATTATATTAAAATAATATATTAACAAATTATTTTTTGTTTATTTATTATTATTATAATTATTAATATTAAATATGATAAAATAAAATTTATTAAAATTTTTTTGGTTAAAAGTTTATAATATATATTAATATTTTTATTATTTAATATATGTTTATATTAATAATATATAAATTATTTATAAAAAATATAATAAGTATATACCGAAATATTAACGTTAATTTAATTATTAATATGGTTAATACTATTGGCTTTATTTTTGGTAAATTTAACCTTTACTGGTTTTAATTTAAAAACGAAAATGTATTTAATGTTAATAAAGCTATTATAAAACTTAATTACATTAGTTTTTATTTTATTAATAAATCCTTTATTTCAAACCTAATAAAATATTTATTTTAAATTATATAAGCTTAAAATTTACGATTTAAAAAATTATACGCATATTTAAAAATAAACGAAAAATTATATAAATAAATGGTAAAAAAATATATTAAGAAAAAGTTTATTTAATATTTACCAGTTATAAAAAAATAAAATAATAATAACGTTATAAATAAAATTATTAAAAATATGTATAAAATTATTCTTTACCTTTTTATTAAGGTATAATTGTAAAAAAGTAAATAAGCAATAAAATATGGTAAAATTTACAATATATTTCATATTTAAATTAAGGTTTTATATAAAATAAAAAAAAATAAATTTAAATATTATTTATAATTATAATATAATTTATTATATTTTATATTTTATATAATTAATAATAATTTATAAAATATATTATATAATTTATATATAATATAAAATAATATAAAAATAATATAAATAATAATTTGTAATAAATTATATAAATATAAAATAATTTTAAATATAAAAACAATTATTAAATTTAAAATAATTTTTTACGTTATATTTCTTTATATAAATTAATTAACGTAATATTTTAAAAAAAGAAATAATTATTGTAAAAAAAATGGTTATAAAAGGGAATATTATTTTATTTTTAAAATATTATATCCTAAAACCATATATTACCGGTATGGTACTTAACTTAAAACCATGAAGGCACCGGTTTTTATTGAGATACTTACAAGGTATGAAAATCAATACAGTATTCCTTACATATTGTACGCCAATTATAGATGTGTTGGAGGTGTTCTATTCCGACACGAGATACGAGACACGTTTTCGTCTAGTAACCCAACATAATGGAACCTCGTATCAATTCAACGATTATCCTTACCTACCTAGGTATCCGGACAAGTTGAAGTCAATAATAAATAATAAACTCTACGGGGTTCCGGCTTAGATGTAGGGTATCGGCGAGCAGACTATTTCTGGCCTTGGACTCTTAGCTGAATACGATATTGGATATTGTCGGTGTTGCTAGCCAGCCTCATTAGTCTTTTGCATGGAACCTAATTTTGCTTGTGCCTGCATGCATCTTGCATAGATGCAGACCCTCTTTAAGACCTAATATTTCCTGCGAACCACGCGTACGAAATGGGGGTAAGTCATGATAATGGTAACATTGAAGTGGGCAGAGTTTCGGAATCTTTGGTATAATTATGGACTATATAGCAACCTGACGTAGCCTTTTTGTCTTAGTTGATTCTCGTGCCTGCCACATGTCGCATTTAAAGATGCCACATGCGTGCATTCCGACCTGCTTAGACCAAAGACAAGCAAAGCGCATTAAGACAATGGGTGGAACGGGTGGAACCAATTATCGGCTGGTACCAAAGTTGAGAATTTGACTTTTCTGTGCCTGACGAGCACAGGCCTTCAGTGGTCCCTAATTGTCCAAAGTGGTCCAGTGGTCCAGTGGTCCAGTGGATCGTTGACGCGATGCGGGATCCCCTGCATTTTAGTGTAGGTACATGTACATGCAATGACCTGAAATGGCCCTTGCATGAGAAGCTGGAAAGTTACCGAAGCCAAGATTTAGGTACCTACATGTAACTTAAATTAGTACGATCAGTGCATATTTCCCCTTAGCTTCTTTTTCTTTGCTGCTCGTCATGCCAGACTCCAGTTGCCAACTTAGACCAATCCATAATGGATTCCATTCAATTCATTAGCCAATTAACCAGCCGAATATTATTCGCGATAATTGAGATATAATACTCCACATGCTCAGGCCCGATATGGACATAGCCCGGTAGATATACCCCTTGCTCTCCCTCTCCTACCAATAACAATAAGAGTTGATTTCTCGGCAATCTGCCAAATTTGATCAGTTGCTTTGATTGAGAATCCTTTTTGGCGGCAGGATCATCTTCGTACGTCAGATGATCTGATGGTGACGGGCGCGTATGGAGATTATAGCGCTATCTCTATCTTCAGTTAAACCCCCAAGACATACATACATACGCTTCACTGCACTATTCCGATCACCATGGATAGGAGGAAGTAGACGGAAAAGGAGCAAGGACCCTAGCATTCACCTAGCGCTAGGTGCCGTTCTACCGTGTGCCGTCACCTTCATTTTCGATAAACGTCTGGTTTTGTACTTGAACATTGCGCTTTTGAAGCTTGTTCTAGGTACGATCTGTTGCTGAGCACTCTGCGCCCCCTGCACACTTCGTTGGACATCGTCATTATCTTGTCCTGCGGGTCAGTGGGTTTTACGTAGCGGCACAGATTTCTCCTTGTTACGTATCTGCCTGTTGATTTTGTACCTTTAAGCGATTTGGTTCCACAAACACCCCTAGCACGATGTCGACAGGGTCTGAGACGGTCACTTTACCAAGTGGCTCGTCACGGCCCAACTTCTCTCGTCTTGATTTCCCCTTCGAAAATAGACTCAATTGGCGAGCCCAAAGCCTGAGAGAGAGAAGCCTTCCATTAACCGCAAACACAGTAGACAAAATGGCAACTCAACGTGATCGTCGCGAAAGCAGTGAGCAGTACCAGAGTACCACATCTGGGAGTACTATTGCTCGATCCATGTCTCGCTACCGTAGGCGGGCAGGTAGCGTTGCTGTCAACGTCGATGCAACCCAAAAAATTAATTCCGATCCACCACCCCCATGGGAACCTCCGATAGCCCCCCCTGTGCCAACTATACCACGTCGGTTAAGGACCGCCAGCATGACACAAAAGGGGAGTGACGCCCCGACTACCGCGCTCGATTCTCCTCTGCGACATCAGATGCGCCATACTGAGAGCACGCGAAGGCATACGCTGCATCGAAGTATGGCAGATCAATATCAGAGCCGTCCCAGCACGGCGAAAAGCGCAAAGAGCGAAGAGAGCGGATGGCGCAGGCTTGCTAGTCGAGATGGGCGACGGAACAGGCTAAACAGCGGGGAGGATGACGAGGCGTTAAGACGAGAAGTTGCGCGCTTAGAGGCCGAAAACCATCGACTATTAATCGAGCAGAAGAGGAAGGACCTCCAAAGGTTAGAAGTGGAGTTAGCGAACAGTCCAAGGCCGTCATTTCAAGCGCATTCACCCAAGCTGAGAAGTCCTGTAATTGAAAAGTTCGTCCTCTTGACCAAGGGGCGGAAAAGTAGGGATGGATTATCTCCTGGGCTTTCTCCAACATCCTCAACCACCAGTGTCGAACCCACGAAAACTCAACCAACCGGAATAGAGCCTGGCGGAAGAGGCATTGTGCCACAGACGGATGCGCCTCACTCTGCGATCAATGCTGGAGAACGAGTAAGTGCGAATTGTGACTTAATGCAATCTATAATATGTGTTAATGTGATGTTAGAATGTCGCGGTGCGCTATAGACAGCATACTTTTAGTGTGGAGGTCACCCCCGAAACGACTGCGGACGATATAATAGCCTACGCCTTTAAGATGATGGGTTCTAGCGATATTAATCCGTCGAATTACGTTGTCAAGGAAACTTATGGCGTACTGGGTCTTGAGCGCCGTTTACGACGCTACGAGCATATTCGAGACGTCATGAATTCTTGGGATCGAGATACTCAAAACCAATTGACAGTAGCATTATCCGAATCCGAAGCACAGGGTTGGGAGTTAGACATGGACTCAGTTCCAAGCCTCGACGAACCACCGCAAGGTTTCCAATTATACATGTACCACTCAAACCGCCCCGGGAAGTGGAACAAGAGATGGATCACCCTTCTTGAAAATGGACAGATAATCTGTGCGAAGAAGCCGAACGCCAACTCAACCGACAAGGATACCGCGAGCTTATGTCGCCTATCCGACTACGATATCTATACACCTACAGAGTCACAGATGCGGAGGTATATCAAGCCACCCAAGCGATATTGCTTCGCGGTGAAGAGTCAACAGAAGACCAACGTCTTTATGAATACTGAGAACTATGTCCAGTATTTCTGTACGGAAGACCCTAAAATTGCGGCCCAATTTAGGGAAAAGGTACAGGGTTGGCGCAGCTGGTACCTTGTGGATCGTAGGCCAGCAGCCCCGAAACCATCGAGGAAAATCTCGATCAGGAAGACGGACGATAAACCGCCTCAAATAACATCCCCTTCGATCGCTCAGGCTCCAAAGAAGTCAGCGAATGTCGCTTCGATAAATGGCCACCGTCTCCAAGTGTCAGTTGATGAAACGCCGTATGCCATTGGCCAGTTTGAGCCGCTTCTCGACATGAAGCGCTTTGATAAGCGATTATCTCAGTTCGGACAGGATTTCTTACCACCTGTGCCGGATATATCGACCATGCCAAAGGAAATTCCTTCCCATCACCTCAATTCTAATACGACGACCGAGAAGATAGACAGGAACAGCAAGAACGAGCGGAAATTGATAGACAAAATTAATACAACAATTGACGATGGATTCACCGGCAACGGTCTGCTTGGTGAAGGATATGAAGAGCGGAAACATGCCCATGTGGAAACAGATCAGCCGGAGCGAGGGCGGCAAAGACACAGAAATGATGGGTTTACGGAGGGCCCTTCGCTGTTGAATCGGAAGTCCGAACCCGAGACGCCGGTTGAAAAACCCGAATCTCCTTGGTTCCCATCAGCTCTTGAGCATTCTGCAAGACAGCGCAGTGTCGGCTCCATATCCTCTTCCACACGCCCGAACACTTCTGCAGGCGTCATCCGCACGCCTACACATACGCATACGCATACCTACACACGAAGACCCTCTCTCTCATCATCATCACGACCTCCGCCTCTCCCTTCAAGCAGTAAACCTCTAGTACATGAACACCCGCACCCCCTTTCCTCACAACCGACTGGACTTTCGCACTCGAACCGTCGCGACCGGCCGAAACCACTGGTCAACTTGGAAGACAACACCTTCCAAGAAGCACCACAGTGGGCGAGGAAAAGTACTGGCCATGGCGTCAAAGCCCCTGCTGGCACGGCCCATCTAGTCGACCTTATTGCTGTCTCGAACCCAAGCAAGCAGAGCGGGGATCCCGAAATCCCGCCGCGAAGCGCCCTCCGCCGCCCTCCTCACACAGCCCCCATCCCTAGCCTTTCTCGGACTAGGAGCAAAACTCAAGGCGCACCTCCCCCAAGAACCCCAGTAGGGGGAAACGTTCCCCCTGTCCCGTCTCTGCCTGGACGCGGTGGTGACCGGGAGCAATTCGGGTTGAATCCACCGCCACGAAGCAGAGATCGGGAACGAGAAAGAGAACGAGCAAGAGAACGAGCAAGGGAGAAAGAACGCGAGTATAGCTCCTATAATTCTGTGCCCGGCAGGACGGGCACTTTGAAAGTGGTATAATGACATATTTACGAAACTACCTACCTACCTATATATTACACCATCTAATCCTTAATATCGCGCCGAACGTCGCATATTTACTTTGTCAAACTCACGGCTGGAGGGTACTTCGTTGCCTACATTTTCTTATATACCTACTTCAAGATGATCTCTCACAAAAGCGGCGGAGTTCCGGGGACATTTGATCATGGAGAGCGAGCGAGCAGTCATGAAGATTATATCATGGAAAGCGAAGCGAAGAAATGTGCTTTTTTGGACTTTTTTTTTTTTTTTCACAGATCAATTATGCCGGGATCTGTTTACGATGAAATATGGATGTCAATATAGTTCCTGCGTTTCTTGCATGGTTAATACTGTTACAGGAGGAGGATTCAAGGTCGATAGATGTCTTGCCTACCTACCTACCTACCTACCTTACCTATATAGCTGGCCCGCGTGTCTAGATACCTCTTTTGTAATACTCTGCATCGGAAAGTGATGCTTTCGATTAGATGCTGTATAATGAAAACCACCCTTAGGGTTGTACTTGTTCTATTAGAGTTGATTGTTATGTGACATATTGATAGGTAGTCTACTCTATTCACGTCCCCGACTCGAGTAAAACGGATCTTATACAAGCTGCTAATACTGTTATATTACAGCCAAGCATCTAATATCTAATGTGAAGTTTATGCTCTGGTGAATATTTCTTCACTTCTGGGGGCTCTTTACCGCCCGCCATCCTGTCCGCGGTAGGTAGATGAAGCCAGCAAGGCCAAGCTAGTTTCTGAGGGAGACATCCTCGGGCTAGGTATTCCGTACTACCTAGCTTAGGTACTTGGAACATTTTAAGCCGTAATTTAGGTGCCTTCTAATTCGATAGAAAGCTACGCTCTTAGATGACGTCGAGGGCTCTCATCCCGTTTACTCCGGACTGGTATTAGAACGACTGCGATGCCGTGGAACCCACAGATGCGGCTCAGATCCGAGGTTACACGTATCTTATAACCCTCCACTTGGTTTCTTTTTTTTTCTTCGTACCTCTCGGAGTATCGTTTTCCTATCCCTCATGAATACGGACAGTTTGAATCTTATCAGGTCCGGGCATGTATGAAGCCAGAACAATGTAAATCCCAAAGCACAAGACCATCGAGGGAAACATAACGAAATCGGTTAGCGATCCGGCCAATGCCCTCCCTTATCGAGCGAATAAGGAGTCTGTGCTACCCAACGTGGAAGATAATTAGTACCTTAGGTAGCTATCTATAAGACGTTCACCACTTTTAGACTGATTACCTAGGTCGTTCCTTAATATAGGACTGTCAAACCGTTCGACGTAAGTGCCCCGGAGTTCGGACCTGTGGAATGTTGACGAGATTTAGATGCAGCGTTATATTGGTTTCGGCGAGATATGAGATGAGACGTGCTTCATCAGCTGAGCATTGGCAATGACGTTTCACAGTGTTGGGATTCTGGATGAGATATCTAAGACAAAAGGATGGGGGACCAGAAGCCGCAGATACACCTGCCGAGCCAGTAGAGGATTCCCTAGCAAGGCTACCTAGTTAATGTTAGCATACTCGTGCTACGAATTTCACTCCGGTGGGAAATATCATAGACACCACGACTACACTCGTAACAAGTGGATGTAGTAGTACGTTCAACATTATCACGATAAACTTAGTGTTAAGCTATCTCTCCCCCCCCCCCCCCCCCTCCTGCGTTATGACGTGGGACTAGAAGGCATGGAAGCAACCCCGTCGTCGTTCTGCAAGGAGCTTTAAACGGACTACAGGAGCCTGCGGCTATACATACTGAAAGTAGCTCATGCTGCGTACCCGGTGCCAGGGGTTTCTATAATATCTAACGTATGCATACCGTACTTCTACGTTCTATACCTAGCCCGTTAGCTCGGAGAACAAACCGAGCGGGATTCGAAGATACGGTTAGTCTGGGCCTGTACTCCGGGAATCTATCTGTTTATCTTAGAGGAAGCTCATAAGAAATACGGCATGCTTGTCTCCAAGGGCCTCTTCCCAATAGCGCCCCATTCCGGTTTTTCTGACAAAAACATCTTTGGGGGATATCGTCGAAATAAGTAAACACCGAATAAGCTATCCTTGGCTAGATACGTTACAAGCCCATCGAGACTCGACACCGTCAAAGTCGAAGAAACCCTTCCTGAAATGATATGGGCCTTGATATTAGCGAGACTTTTCCTTGGCTGTCGTTTGACATAGTGGGTAAGAAGACCAAGCCACTGAGTGAGCTGCCGTTAAGCATGTCTGCTAACAAGGCATGCGGCCGGGGGAGCTGACGTTCGGAGATTCGCTCGATGCGGTAACTACGCGCAAGACATATTTATGGATATCACAGTTGATATTCAAAGGTTCCCATAAATAGTTGAACCCGCTAATTAATCATGCAGCCATAAGACGTAATGTATTATTCGTTGCCGAAAAGGGCGAGCGATCGAGTATGAGCAGCTAAAAACGGCGTCGAACTGGCACATCTCGGATACCAGAATATTGTGATTGAAAGCCCAGCAACCCTTTCTATTTGCCGAAAGCTTCTCTCAAGCCCAATTAGGAATCACCCGCTAGAGGGGTACGCGGTATCAATAGTCAAATAAAATCCTAAGGCAAAATTAGTTAAATAAAAGCCATATTAACCTCGAAAAGAACAATGAAAATATTCCCGCCAACGGCCTTCGGACTACAAAGGGTATTATCGCCCGGCGGGATGGTGGGCGATGGTTAAGAGATGAGGAATTATCTTCTAGGCAAGGTAGTTCGCATCCAATTACCTTCCCGCCTAGCACCGGGCCTAGGGTTTGCGCGGGGATCGCACAAGCCAATCTAGAGATGCGGGTTGCCGTAGCGAAGTAGACGCGTGTTTTTAATATCCGGTAGTGTAAAACCCCGAAGACCGGATTAGTTCTGCGGGAATATATATGTCGTGGAAGAAAGCCCCTCTCACTTTCCAACTCCGCGAGCAGAATGGGCTTATTCGAGTAGAGTAAGTTGTAACACATGGGGTCTTCCTTTCCGGACCACCTAAGGATGGCGAGGGACCTATGCTTCGTGAAAACACAAGTATAACATATCGAATTGTAAATTTCAAGGGTATTGTTCATGTCGCTGTCTAGTTAGAAATCTACAGTCATTTCAAAGAATTCCTCCTGCGTCGTCCTAGGCATCCCTTTTACCAGTTGACTCGATTATTCGATAGATTTCGTAAGCTTCGTTCCTCCATTTCGACTTCTTTATTTGCTTCGCTTGTAGATCTTCCGTAAGAACTCTTCGAAAACACCCTTCTTCAATCCTTCACTCTCGTCCAAATGAGAGATCAACTGTTTAATCTCGCCGACAGCCTTCTCCTCGTAGTCCTGGTACAGTTTATCGAGCTTCATTTCGTCGTAGAGCTTCTTGATCTCGGCCTCGTGGGCCTTGTCCTTCCTGCCGTAGTGTTCCTCGAGCGTCTTACGCTGCTCAGGAGTAGCTAATTTTAGGGCTTGGTTGACGAGCCAAGAGCATTTGTTATCCTGGATATCGGTTCCGATCTTGCCAATGTGCTCCGGAAGACCGAAGTTGTCCAGGTAGTCGTCTTGGATCTGGAAGTACTCGCCCATGGGAATGAGGATGTCATGAGCTTGCTTCAAGTTCTTAGGGGTCGCGATGTTGAGCATGTGCAGCGCCAGGGCAACGGGAAGGTAGAAGCTGTAATACGCGGTCTTGTAGACGACGATAAAGGTATATTTCTCTAAGCTGAAGTTGTCGAGGTTTACGACATCCTCCGGAGCTGTGAGAAGATCGCAGAGCTGGCCGAGCTCGGTTTGCAGTGCTACTTCGTGAAATAGCTCCATCATGTCGACGTAAGAGGGGTGAGTCTTGAAGTGCTTCTTGAGCAAGGTGTAGATAGCAGACTCAAGTATGAAAGAATCGTTGATAGCAACCATACCGACGCCTTCCTGGCGGTACCAGCATGGCTTGCCACGTCGGGTAGTGCTACCATCCATGATATCGTCGGCGACGAGGAACATGGCTTGAAGAAGCTCAATCATCCAGCCTAGAGTGGCAGCTTGAAAATACTGCTCTTCGGACAGTTCCTTGCCAAGAAGGATAGACACGGAGTCAGGAACTGACATTCCACGGTTGCATTTTCCGCCAACCGTGTTTTCTCGGAGCATCTGCGTGTAGGGTTAGTACGGGATGCGGCAAATGAGATTTAATTAGATTCAGTGCTCTCCTAAGAGCATAAAGTTGAGTGATAATGGCAATCGAGTCTCACCTTCTTGTACCAATCTTGCTGCTGCTGAGGCAAGTTGTATTGCTTCGCCCAAGCTACGAGGTCCTCCTCGAGCTTGGGGAAGACAGACTCAAACTCCTTGAGAGTAGTTCTCTTAGCCATCTTGTCAACGCGGTGTTGAATGTTCAACTGATAAGGTATGTCCTAGGATACGTCTTAGGATATGTCTCTGGACTTGAGGTACAAGGGAGGAAATAAGGGAAGTAAGGTCTCCTCTTATAACGGCCCAGGAAGTTATATAGGAGTTGCCCCACACCGGGTCGACTTTTTTGTTGACGAACCGTAAATTGCCTAACCCAATGTACCTTAGTACACTAACCGGTTAGCTCTTAGTACACTAGCTTAAGATGGCAGATGGTCGGTGTTGAAAGTTTTAATTTGAGTGCCCCTACGTGTGACAAAAAGTGTTGCACGGTACTACGTAATATATCATTTAGTGCCTGCCGGTACCTACCTACCTAGGAGGTACCTAGTAAATTGATCGATATCTTATCTTTACCTCTTATCGTTATCTTATCCTAGGTCAATATTGATTTTCGAGGGGCAGCGACAGCTCCTGTTCATCCTATTCATCCTATTCATGATTCATGTGCTAAGAGCTTTCTTTATAAAGCTTCGTTACTGCGAAACAAAACCGGAAGGACTACATCTCTTGAAAATGTAATGTGTCTAGGTTATACCGTCGCCAAAGCTCGTTACCATCCATACCTAAATGCATACAATCCAAAGCTCTGAGCACAATTGAACTGCGACGCGGTTTCGTCGTTGTCGCGTCCAACTACACCAACTACACCAACTACAGTTACTTTGGTCATCTTCACACATATAGCACGCAAATATGTCTCTTAATAGTAAGGAAAAATCACAACTCCGAAGCGCCCTACAGGAAGCAGTTATAAAATGCTCAGAGAGATGTCTTTATCAATCTTCAAAATGGTATTCATTGATCTCTATTCCTCACAACATTACACACTACGGGTTCTAATCCAGGATATTCTCTAGGGCAGCCGAACTACTTAACGCTATTCCTGAACCCGAGGTATCGCTTGACGATTCTCAGCTGTCGGATGCATCTAATGGATACGCATCGACAGCATTCGCCCAAAATGGCGACCCGGACGAAGCAATACTCGAAGCTAAAGAGATTAACAAGTACCTTCTAGCCAAGTCCCTCTTCGATTGTCGAGAATACGACCGCTGCGCTGCAGTTTTCCTTCCCGACTCTACCTTGGCTGGAATGGCATCATCAAAAGAGCCGAATAACGCGACACCCAAAGGCAAGGGGAAAGGCAAGGTCACAGCACCTAGCACCAGGACAAGCAGCGCGGAGGTATTACCACAATTGAGTCAAAAAAGCCTGTTTCTTGCATTATATGCCAAGTTTCTCTCGGGAGAGAAACGTAAAGATGAGGATGCCGAGATAGTAATGGGACCTCAGGACATTGGCACATGCATCAACAAACAGCTATTGACAGTCAGTCGCATTTTAGAAACATGGTTCGAGCAACGGAAATCAGATGACGGCGAAGAGATAGAAGGTAGCCAAGGGTGGCTTGAATACCTCTACGGTATGATTCTTGCCAAAGAAAAGAACGAAGAGCTGGCCCTATATTGGCTAGTCCGCAGCGTACACCTATTCCCTATGAATTGGGGTTGCTGGCTAGAGATGACTGCACTTATCTCACGGGTGGAAGATGTATGTTACAGTAGAATATTGTTCAGGTTCACGATCGCTAATTTAATACAGTTAAATCGCATAATGCCTCGCTTACCGCAAAACATCGTCTCCTTTATGTTCCATATACACACCTCGCTCGAGCTCTACCAGCACGATCCAAATCTCGCAAATTCCCTCGACCAACTACTCAATATATTCCCGACGTCATCTTTCCTGCTCACATGCGATGCCCTGCTATCTTACCACGCAAAGGATCTCGTTGCAGCAGAACAACACTTCAGCAATATTCTATCGCTACACCCCCATCGACTAGACTCGCTTGACCATTATTCTAACATACTCTACGTCATGAACTCACGACCAAAACTCGCATTCTTAGCCCATCTATGCAGTAGTGTTGATAAATTTCGCCCAGAATCTTGCGTGGTAATTGGTAATTACTACTCGTTGTTATCCTTGCACGAGAAAGCTGTGCAATATTTCCGACGAGCGTTGATGCTGGATCGCTCATGTTTGTCCGCTTGGACGCTCATGGGGCACGAGTACGTCGAACTTAAAAATACACATGCGGCCATCGAATCATATCGCCGAGCTGTGGATGTAAATCGGAGAGACTACCGTGCATGGTACGGATTAGGGCAGACGTATGAGATTCTAGAGATGCATGCATATGCATTATGGTACTATAAGAAGGCAGCCGGTCTCAGACCATGGGACGGAAAGATGTGGATGGCCGTTGGCTCGTGCTTACAGCGCATGAACCGAAATCAGGACGGTATCAAAGCTTTAAAACGGGCGTTGCTCGCCGAGAGCTACTACGACACAGGTAGCAGCATCGGTAGCGGTGGGATAGCGGGTAGTCTCCGAGGTGCGCACATGGACCCGGAGATCCTGCTACAGATCGCCAACATGTACGACGGCATAGGTGAGGAAGAAGACGCCAAGGCATACATGGAAATGTGTGTGGCGCAAGAAGACGGCGGGGTAGGCGACAGCCAGGGCGAAGGCATCGCAATCCATAATGATTCGCCGGGAGAGGGCTCGGATGACGACGGCGATCGCGCCGGGCGTGGAGAGGGAGGTACGGGGGTGACGGCCGCCACTAGCAAAGCCCGGATATGGCTTGCGCGCCACGCGATGAGGACGGAGGACTATGTTACGGCGAACCGCTTAGCGAACGAGCTATGCCAAGACGGTGTTGAGGTCGAGGAAGCGAAGGCGCTCATACGAGAGGTTAGGTCCAGGATGGAAGCTAACGGAATGGAATTACCGTCAGCGGGATAAGTCCCCTATAGCACGCTACGACACTCACGAATTACGACTGTCTTAATGCCACAAAGTGGTTTGGAAGCTATGGCTCGTGCATCGATTGTGGCTAATGAATTATGATATCTGCATGAATGGAACATTAGTGAAAGTGAAGTTTTCTGGTTTCCTGTGGGTAACCGATTGTAGTATCGAGAACAAGATATCGAGAACAAGAATGTTCTCCGCACACGCCGGGCGGTTGCTTGACTCTAACCTCTACATGAACCTCAGCAACGTAACATATACATACCAATATACAAAATTTTCTTGATCGAGTTGGCTAGAGGGTTTGTGGCCTCGTAAGCCTAAGAGTAAGAGTCATTAGCGCAAGTGAAATTCGCATTTCACTTAGATTAGGTACTTATAGAATAAGAAATATCAATAGTATTAAGTGTATCTAGGTACCTGTAGAATGTCCGGATTCTAGATGAGGACATGTTCAGTATGTATACCTACCTAACTAGACATAGGCTCTCGTAGTTAGGTTAGAGTTCCTCGTGACATAGAAAGCCGACACCAATCTACCAAAGTTCGTTCAACGCCGGCAGACTCCCACACTAGATAGTTACTGAGATCTAGACACCATGTAGGGGTGTAGTGGTTGGTTGTATGGACCCTTGCATTCGGCGCGCTCTCTTCAGGTACTAGGTTAATTACTAAGACCGTTCGATGACGGGCAGGTAGGTTAGGTATATACATAGAGCAGGACGGGGAGGATCTAGATAATATTTCTGCGACTAATCACAACGTGCCAACGCATGAGACGTGGCTTTTCTAACTTTCTTTTTACTCGCTGGTCCGTATTTTCCCTTATGCGTAGTAGTATACGGATTATAGGATACCGGGGTCGGAGTTAAAGATATTCCACATATCGAAGATGCTGCTTTAACTGATCGGGACGGATATCTACTGCTAGGTACCTCATATTACGTAGGTTACGTATGGGGTTGCATCGAGCTCACCTCGGTCCGCCTCTTCCTTTGCGCCGCGAGTGAGGTATAGTCTTAGTTACCGAAGCCAGAGATACGGCGCGAGGATGGTCGCATTATGTCTTAGGTGGCGCCTATAAAAAGATACGGATTCTTACGTATGAAAGCTAGGGTAGAGGATGTGCGTATTGGTATTAGTGGGATTATGAGGTAGGTAGGTATAGTAAGTAATATAGCTCAGCTCTCGTAACAAGAGGTAGGGATAGTGTGACCGATCTGTTACCGGACTTGTCTTCCTCGGTAGGCGACTTATACATACGTGTATATGGGATTTATATTGACTGCTTGTGTTACCGCAATCGCAGATTCATACCTTAGATATGTACCTCAAAACGTATAAGATGAGCAGTTTAGGAGGTAGACATGCAAGCGCCGTGATGTATTAGCTGGCGAGGCAGAGCGGCGTTCCGCCTACAGCAGAGACATGTCTCTTCCATCCTACAAACAAATTGCTAACCCACAATTCAAATATAGATCCCCATTCCCATAGTATAATATATATATATATATATATATTCTCTCCAACAAACCCATAATCACGTCAATTATATATCGCACGAGCCCAGCAAGCGAGTGAATGACAGCCCGCCGTGAACTCCTTGCTTGCTTGCCCCGCGCCAGCTCGCGGACTAGCTGCATGGCGGCAGAGGAAATACGAGCTCCATGACATCTTGGCGGCGCAGACATACCTACCTACCACCTGTGCGGAGCGCAATCACATGCATACCGTTACATTTTCCAGATAGTAGATACATACACACATACATAATATACTCAGCACTCCCTTACTACTTACTATATGTATGTAGGGGCGGGAGAGGAGCTAAGTGGCGGCCTGTCCCAACTGGGAGACGAAAGAAGAGGATGATGCTGGATAGGTAGGCAGCCACCTTTAAACGGGGCGTCATACGAAGTTTGCTGATGAACTGTCAGACTTACAGTACCTAGATATCGTACTAGATATCGTAGGTAGGTGGGCTCTGGTCGCTCGTCTACCATGTCCCTGACATAGACGGTTCGTGAAATTCCGCGTCCAAAAAACCGCCTGTCAGCGCCGATTTCACGCTGCAGGGGTAGCGAATGCGATGGTGTAGTCATACAAGAGCCCGAGTGAAGAAGCGGGATATCGATATCCCTCCATAGGAATCTCCTAACCTAGGTACCTAAGTAAGAACGTCATACCAAGCCTCTCAACAGAAGTAAGCTTCGAAGAAAACTTTTTTCTTCCTCTTTCGACCCAACTAGCATACATATAGGTTAGGTAGATAGGTACCTCGCGCACATAGATCAAAATTCCGGTACGAAAAAAAAAAAAACCTTGGAAACTCGTTCGTCTCTACATATAACGTGCATACAATCCCATCTAGATCCCTACCTCATGTGGAGCTAATCCGACAAAAGCAGCAATAAGCAGACAGCTATTCGCCACGGTATGTTGTCCGCTGCAGCTGTGCCGTGAGCTACTATGTAGATTGGTGCTGTCAGCATTAAGGCCATACATGCATGACAAGAATGAATGACGAATGTAGAAATACTCTGCGTTGTGGGTTAGCTAGCGGGGGCCAGTTGTCCGAACTGAGAAGAGGAGGAGGAGGAGGGTTAGGTTAGGTTGGGAATGCCGGGTATGTGAGAACGTGCTTTGGTTCGTGCGTGCGGCTACGGTCACTAAGGTGGTGTAATTCATAGCGCAGTAGTGCTGCGGGTTGGGAAGATGGCGTTCAGCTTAAGCTGAGATCCATCAATCAACGACGACCAGGCTGAAGATATACGGTTTTCACAGTGAGAGTTACGATTGAATATAAGGTACAGCTTTGGTGATTATTATGGTATTTTTCTATATACGTTATTATTGTACCACCCAGATACCGGGTTAGCTTCAGGGAGTGTAGTTTCGAAGCTTGTCGGCATCGAATTAGCCAATATGCGTGCATACACGCAGATTAATATCCTAGATATGAACCCTCCCCTTTTGTGAGCCTCAACATAACTCCGCCTTCCTTTATGCTAGCCCACATTATCTCGTCAAAGTCATCCATCATAAACAGCATGCCAAGCTCCCAGGGGTATCGCTTGGTTTAATGAGGGTATAGAACGAGGCCGCTAACCATTTCCGCTTCCAGATGCCAACCATATCAAATCATAGCTTCATCCAAAAGGTGAGGGGAATCATTTGCCGCCTAGGTATTATAAAAAAGCAAAAACGGGTATCTGCAAAACGCAATAGTACGGAGTTTCGTATTACTTAGTTTACAGAGCGAGGGCAGCGAGACCAGCAGCAAGAAGAGCACCGACGGGTCCAACCTTGCCGGCAGCCGCCGTGGGGATCACCACCGGGCCGGAGGATGTGGGCGGGATGGGGACATTAGTCGGGACTTCGGGGGTGGTGATGGGGACGGTTCCGGAGATGTAAGTTGACGGCGCCGGGGTGTAAGTGATGACCGTAGAGCCGACCGTAGAGCCGACCGTAGAGCTCACGTTGGAATAGGGGTAAGAAGAGAAAGAAGAGAAAGAAGGGGCAGTCCCCGTAGGAATAAGAGTTGGCGGAAAGTACGAAGTTGTGGTGATTGGAGGAGGTTGAGAGTAGGTAATGGTGCAAGGGCAGTCTTTTAGAATGTTAGTTTCCGTAACCTTTAGTATAATGAACTAATCTAGACATACTGGTGATGGTAAGAGTGGTCTCTGTAGTAGCAGTATATGTCACATTCTGCCAGGCGAAAGTAGTAGGAGACTAGCCGAAGCGTCAGTTAGACTATTGTTCAAGGAGTACTACTTATGGTGTGTTAAATATTATGGTGTGTTAAATATATTATACATACCGGGCAGTAAGTAGTGTAGTCGGTTTCCACGACCGTTGTCCAAACTGCGGTCTCACCCCAAGCATTCGCAACGGCAAACAGCCCAACGACGGACGCGAGGATCTGAGTTAGCTTCATTTTGATCGGTATATTGGCCACGATGGTAAAGCGAAAGGACTGGTGTTATTATTATTATTCGACTTGAATCACTAAGCGATTGGAGTTTACGAAACGACTGTGATGTCAGTTGAGATTCGACAGGTAGCGATTGAGAGATCCCGAGTGATATAAGATGTTGAAGAGATAAGTATGTTGGAAGTGCATGCAGGACAGCCACCTATTTATTTTCTCTTGGACCTAAGAGGGTTGAGTTCTCATTGCAACCTTATGGTGGGCAATGGCAAGCAGCCCGACCCGGCCGGTCCAGCCCGTAATCGCAGGCTTACAAGCTCAAGGGCTGGGAGCTCTTTGAATGATGCCATGCATATCAATGGCGGGCAGTTGCCATATCGACCGACGCTTGTCCGGGGTTAACAAGCCACAAAGGCAGCCAACCATACGACCGATACATCTCTACACTCGTAGCCGTCGTAGCCGTCATACGGTCGGATGTGTGATACGGCCATCCCATCGTCTTGATAAATAGAGGCTGCCATTCCGGTCACGATTCATCCTAAATTGCCCTGTCTATCTCGTAATAACTCGTCGTGAAGCCATGAGAAGAGCTATTGATACTTAGCTCCAAGGCTAGGCTATCTGGATGCCCAGCCTAACCTTTACGGAGCGGCGGTAAGGTACGTTGCATCCAATTTAGGCCCCATCTAGCGATACCAGGTCAGAGTAGGACCTCTACTATAGAATGGTCATCTTCTCTAGTGTGATACGAGGTAACAGTCTCAGTAAACGGTTGTTACTCGTGAGATGTACGGACATGTCAGCATATCTCTTCAACAAATAGCTCTTTTAGATCGTGCGATAGATAAGGTAACAAGATAGTCAGGCGGGGTTGGTGATGCTGAGCTGAGAATGTGATAGGCGTTCGAAGAGCCTCCCCTGCCATTCTGGTCCATCAACAGAGGCTGACCTGAGCTGATTGGGCACGTCATATATTTCGACTTTCGCTTTTTGGTAAGCGGGCTGGCAGGGCTGGTGCAGAGACACGGTGGCTGTTAAGGAGTCTATACCTCTTGCGGGCTTATCGATGTAACAATGTAACAATGCTACCGAAAGGGCCGAGCAAAACCTCGTGTTGCTGAGCTACCAGTCACCAGTCAACCAGTCTAAACGGAGTGCCAAGCCCTCTAGAATATCAACGTTTTCTCTTCTCTCCCATTAAGATGAGATTAGAGAATCTGAGGCGTGAATATATTCAATCTTCAAATTTGGTGATTAACTAATAGATTTCATTAGATAGGCATTTTATAATAGAGAAGAGTGAGTATTTGATCTAGGTAAGTAAGATCTGAAAGTTAGGTATGTTGTGTTGTTGAAGGAAGGATTGTATTAAATTGTGGGTTGGTTGAGATTTCATAGGTTGAATTGGATATGATAAAGATATGCGAATTATGTTAGGTACTCGAATGTGTATCACTGCATGATAGGAAAGAGTGATACCTACCGTGGTTCAAATCGCAGACGGAGATTCCAGTCCGGTCAAAGCTTCCAAAAAGGTTAGAATAACTCAACGCGATAACCGTGGCTTCTGCAGATAAAGATAGCAATTACCTACCTACCTTATGATAGGCAAGTACATTCGACACTTGCAAGCATTAAAAACATTCGGATAATTGAAAATGGAATTTCCCCAAATATTTCTCTTGATCAGAAACTTTAACCGCAAGCAAACCTAAAGTCGCCATCTGAAATATCAACATCTCGACAACGTACCTTGTGCTTCTTCGGTTGAAGTGGCATGCTTGGCTCAATGTCCCAACGACGAAATATTGGATTGCAGACAGATATATGGTAGCACGACAAATATGTCTAAATGCTGCGGATTACCATTGGGTCTGCGAGAAAAAGCTAGCGAGTACTGATTGTCCAGGCCGTCGAAAGAAATTTATTAGGTCTGACAGGAATACCACGGCGTTCTTTGTCATAACTGCCTCGTCTCTCCAGCAATCCAGGATATGGATAGAGAAACTCCCCGCGATGTCGGTTAGGTAGCTTATCTAACCGCGGCTTCTTATGAGAATCAGTCGGCGATATTCGGAGGACCGGCGACAAAAGAGTGAGCTTTTCGGACTTCTTTTCAGGCCACCAATACAGCGACCGCAAGAATGACAGTAAGAGAAGGTCTTCCCCATCGAGCCAATGAGGGAAGAGGTATTTTGTTCTCTCCCGAATGAACCACAATCCATCCAAAAACGCCAATAGCACGTCATCACCGACATTTCCGTTACATCGCGGTTCCTGAAAATTTGATGGGCTCGGCTTCGACTTGCAGTTCTCCGCCGATGCCCATTGGATATCTAACAAGCGAACATGCCAAGCAACGGCCCGGAAAATTTTCAACTCCTAGCTTTCTTCTGATAGGTCGTCCGTACCTGCATAATGGTATCTTACTTCTTGCTGACTGTTAGGTCAACCCTCACCGGCTTCGAATAGTACACTCAACATCTCGGTGTCTCTCTAAGAGGTGTACCTGCAGGCTGGCTTTGCTCCAATGAACTGGCTGGCACTATGTGATTCGGCTGCAGGAGGAGGCCAACTTCAGCGTCGAGGCTTGGTTGAAAGTTGTAATTCAGTGCGTCTTTCTTCACCGTCTCAAGAAAACTTGTTTTATTTGATGGCTAAAATTCACTCACAAGTATCTTGATGAATCATCATACCCAAGCCATATAGTCGTTGGCTAAAGCAGTATACGACTTCAGGGTTACTTGGAACTTCTCTCCTTCCGGGAATCGGATTTGGTCGAGGATCTGATACCGATGCATTAGTTCATGGCTCACGGCAACAGGATGCCGTGGATAGACTTGAAAGGCCGCATTTTGGCCGATGAATTAGTGGTCGGTACCTACACTAACGTATGTAAGAAGAGTGAAGAGATTTAAGCTTCGGTATATGAAAGACTAAGGACTATACCGGTTGTCTTGATTGTGGTTGGCTGTTGAGTTATAGCTAGGTACCCAGCTACCTCGGCCACCATATACAAACATATCGTCCACTACGGTCCAGCAATATATCCGCAAGTCTATGTGGATCGCGATGCATGCGTGGCAAAAGCAAATCAGGATGCTATCCTGTCTCTTGGGTCCCCCCGGTCCCGTGGTTGATGGTGTGAAGGCGCGGCCCCTAACGCTCGACGGTCCGGAGTTGCGGGTATCCAACTCGGTGACTAAATCTCTAGGCGTTGGTATCGGTCCATTCCAGCTTAACACCCGGTGCCTTAGTGGCTACACAGCTTGGTCAATATGGATCATGTTTTCTTGCTGATCCACTCGACCGTGAATAGCGCGAGGCCGACGATTTCGACAGTTGAGCCTTATTACTCATTTTTATTGGCAACACCAATGGCCATGTCAAATTCCTCCAAGGTTCCCACAAGTTTTATATCACCATGCCTAGCCATCGAAAGACTAGAACATCTACCTTGTCTCCCTCACGAGATCTAGTCTTCTTGGTTGAGAAATTTGCTCTGGCACCAGTGCCATAGCGCCTTATCGAGCTCATGCAACTGCAGTCCGTTCAATAATTCATCACATGTGTTACGACGCTGCGTTGGCTACGGAATGGCAAAAGAAGAAAATTTTGCAAGCTGCGGTCATAGGTCAACCTAGTTCGAGAAGCCTCAATTACTAGTCTGTTTACCCCGTCGTGCTCACTCAGTTGGAACCATATTCCCGTATGAAGTTCCATCTCGGGCGCAAGGGATGTGCTTATTCCATCCCAATATCACCACCTTCGCGATGTTCTACAAGGTTGTTGTCATGTCCGCAGTGTATTAGCAATGTGAACAATTTATCTAAATGGTACCACGTATGGATTACTCCCGGCAGAGCGACTAAGCAAAGAATTTCATCCGAGGCGCAAAGCCCAATGTCGGCAACAGTCCGTTAGGCTACATCATCGCAGACCTAGATGCGGTGATAGAATATACCTCTTTCTCACATTTGTCGGGCGAGACTGTACCCTCTCATTGTCTGCCACATCAGTGCTAATGCCACATGGAATATGTCAGGTACCAGGAACAAGATCTTAAAGCCGACCAATCGGGTTCTAGAACCAGATCGAGTCCAGCAGTTGCTAATGCAGGGTAAAATTCCTTTACCTACTTGTTTTCTTTGTGTGCCACCCCCTTCTAGTCCTTTGTAAATTTTCATCTTACCCCGGCAGACAGCCCACCCGAATCTGTTGGATTGGTGGAAGCACGAGTTTTTGCTTGTGAAGCGTCCTTGCGGAATTCATAAGCTCACACCCCGTCGTTATCTGTCAGCCCTAAAATAGTATCGCCAAGATTCCATCAGTTGCCGTCCGCCAGGCTCCGCGACTTTCGAGGATGCGCATTTTAATGGGGTACCGCTGACCACTAATGTCTTCTAGAATAGCTCGGAGGGTTATAATCCAGATTAAGAGCTGATGCAGTCACTTTAGCATTCCATATTTCACCGCCGCTAGACTCATGCTAGGCTCAAATATATGGGTTTAGCAAAGTTTGTCCCGGCTAGAACTTAGAAGGAACCATTAGTACGAAGCCCTCCATCTGAGCTGCTGGGCCGTTTGCACTTAGGATGCAACCCTGATTCAGGAACAGGCAGACAGGTCATCCTTTTCGGCCTCCACAGCTACCTACCTGCGGTGGCTGCGCTGATACATTCACGGCACCAGGGGGATTGGATGGATCCTGGATCATGGAATTGGTCTAGGACCCCTTTCTTCCCGTTCCCTTCCTTTGTTTGTACCCCCCGCTGCATACTAACGCAGCACTCGCTCTAGACGTGCTTGACGTTTCTTGTTCATTGGATACAATGAACTCCTCGACGATTGGTTGAGCTAAACAATGATGGTAGAGCCACGAGCCGACCTCGCGTGGTCTTTGTCCCCCGGATTTCATATAAGACTTTGTGCCATCCCGCATCCTAAGTCTGTCTATCATTTCTATACCGCCATCAATCTTCTGGTTCTATACATTCTCTTTCAGCTCTTGGTAGCTATCATTCCTTTCTTTCAAGGCTTATTCGTGATACATTCATTTAACACGAAGCTATATACCCTTAGCTACAATATACATTCCCTATCAACTGAATCCAGAAACCACAGGGCAACAAGCCATCAGATATAGATACTTTGACTATCACTTCTATCAATAAACAACAAACAAAATGGGCCTATTCGCTAAAATCGCCGCCTTTGCTGCTGCTTCGGCTACTCTGGTTAGCGCCAACTCGTTCACATTCGTCAACCAGGACGGCGCCACCCGCCACATCGCCTTTACCCCGGCTGCAGGACAAGCAGCTATCGCTCCCATTACGATTGGAGGAAACGGCCAGGCTAGAGTGGACTTCCCCCAGGGATGGATCGGCAATGCTTACGCTTTCAACGAGGGTGCCCCTGACGTCCCGGGCATGCTCGCCGAGGTTGCTTTCAACGGCTGGAACGGCTTGACATACTTTGACGTCTCGGCCATCGTGAACCCTAACGACGTTAACGGTGTCAAGGAAATGTACCCGGCTAGTCAAATGCAAGCCGCGTCCAAGGTTGCCGTATCCGGGTGCCAAGTGTTCCCTTGCGGCAGCGCTTACTACCACCCTGACGACGTCCAGACCGTCACGACCCTAGAGACGGACCTTATCGTTACCCTCGGCGGTGGCGCCCCCGCCCGCCGTGACGTTGAGGCCATGGTGGTCCCGCGTAACTACGTTCTCGGCAAGCTCTCTGCGTAAGCGGAGCCTTATCCTGCCTTGAAGGCGTTGTGCGCTGGGCGCTCGGAAACGATGACACGACTTTACTTCTACTAGCATTACCCATCCTTTACAACCGCCAACCCGCCGCGAGCCTAGGTGCTCTGCGCAACATTCACGACCTCGAGGGATCGTGCTGGTAAAAATATTACTTCCCCGGCGGAGTAGAAGATGGCATGCTGGTCAGGTTCCCTTCCTGGAAACAAAAACAAACAAACAAACCCGATACTTATCACCCTTCTCCACATTCGTTGTCTTATATCTTGCAATTTTCTATTTACGTGTATATACTTGAGGGTCGCACTTCTTGGTTTGCTTTGGAAGGGACAATTATACCCCCTTTGGTTGTGCTATAGCGAGATACCAGATAGATGGAACGAATAAACGAGCTTACGGTTGATTTCAAACAAACGAAATTATTCATTGTCCACGTGAAATTATTGCTTTGTTATGTCTATCGTCTTGTACGAAGGTCTAGACTCGAGACCCTTTTACGTAGCGTCAAAGCCGTAGGCACGCACCTCGACACATGGTTCCAATTTACTGTTTCTGATTATCTCTTTGTTTCCCACTTTCTCACTTTCCCAATTTCCCGAAATCATTGCCCGCTGCTGATGTTAAGCGAAGCAGTCCTACATAACTCATGAAGATATAGAGGTATTGGAAGTAAAATGTTATCAAGCTATCACCCCTGGCGGTGGAAATGATTGACCCCCGCAGGATTGCGTGGCGTCCCGTCGATAGCATTACGCGGCACAGCATCGAGATGCACCCCAATCTCCACCCCAGACGAAGCCACGAAACGAAACAGAAACAGAACTAAACATAAACGCCAAGCCTAATATAACCACCTACCTAGGTATTAGAATATTAAACTACTTGTCTACTTACTTACCTGGGTACCTAGGTATGTATCATATCATGAGAATTCGAAAATGTTGTAGTTGCTCCATTCGGCCCATGTCGTTATTTTCTCCAAGAGGTTATATTTAACTCGTAGTCCTAGTCGACGAACAGGGTGTGTGGGCTATTTATTGATATACTAGGTTACTTACCGCGTTGGGAACCTTCACCCTTCCAACGCCAAAGTTCGGGTCGATCCCCCGGACCTTAAATTAGCTTGTCAACTTCCCGATACCGACCCGTCTAGAACGATCGAAGTGCCTCGGCGACGTTTCGTAATAGAGTGTCTGGTAGGTATGTATGTATGTATGTATGTATGTATCGTTCGAGCGCCGAAAGACGCATTGCGTTTTGTTTTGTTTTGATTCGTTTCTTGCGCCGCGATGTCGCCTATTGCTAGATATGTAATTATATATGAGTACATGAGATAGTGCATGTAGTGTATTGTACTACTCTCCGGTTTGAGGATCGACCCCGGGGTCAGTGACCTGCGCCACGATGCACTGGTGGGATTGCTACAGGTGCGCTGCTATGTAGGTACACTAGAAATAACCTGGAACTAGGGTAGAGCGCGTGCATTGCTACATATGTCGGCGATGGGACGAGTAGGCTATTGGATTAGATAGCGTTGCGGGAGCACTTACACTTACACTTACACTTACACTTATACTTACACAGACCCTGACACTAACACTAACACCACCTTACTTTCTTGCCTATGTTGTATGAAGTAGGTTGTGTATAATTAGATAAAAACATGAATATTTCGCCAAGACCTGTCGCAGTTCAAATAAAGACAACAACAAAAAAAACGTGCCAAAGCCGCAACCGCCAAGCTTTTTTGATATCCCAGTTCGATGCCACGATGCGAGGGTGATCTGTCTTATCTGTTGTAGCCGCACACCCCCCTTCCACTCCCCCAGTATATTGATTGGAATGTAGATATGTACGTTGTGTATGTGCGCATTGGAGATCTTGTTATGCTTGGCATGCGAGACATCGAGAGTTGTGATGAATTCACCTAAGATATGTAATTGTGAAAGTAATTGTATAATTAATAGATAACGCTATGCTGATCGTTGCATGTCATTTCGTGACAGCGGCTCTCAGCATCTTATTTCCTCTTACCTTACCTTACCTTACCTTACCTTTCCTCAACAGCCCGCAGGTAAGACGGGCGGGTATAGCCTATTCGTCCTCCATAAGCAACTATCCTATCCAGCTCAATACACCAAGGAAATTCTACATTCTAAAAGGCTCCAAGTCGACCAATTACAAACAAGAGCAGAAGCAGAACCATCCCGCCTATTCAGGGTCTTTATCTTCCTTGTATAAGTGCCGAGCGGCTAGCAACGCGAACACGCTCCGGAAGTGAAACGAATAAAGCCTGCACTCCACGTTTTCCCGCTGCTGAGGAATCCTTACCGTCGTACAGACGTACTAGTTGGTCAATGCCTATCAATATTACATGTAGGTACGTCCTCGGGGCTGATATCCGGTGCCTGAAAAGGATCTACCTTACCTTACCTATCTCTCCTATGCACCTTTTCCAAGGCACCCCTCGCATGCCACCGAAGCCGGCAGGACTCTTTGTTCAATGCACTCCTGCATGCATGTATGCATAGGTACATACCAGTATCAACTTGGCCTTTCTCAGGATCCAGCATCTGTCTACCGGTAGTAATTGCTGCCGCAAGCCGGGCGACCACGGGCAAAGCAGCAAGCAGGCCATGAACGCGACCGGCTCACCGTGCGACCTGCTGATGGCCGAATGGAGGGCTCCAAGTCAGCCGCTGTGTTATCATCCAGACGTCTTATCGTTATGACCTGTCATTTACGAATATTTATTAGCATTTACCTACCCCTAAACAGGCCGTGTATATATATATATATATATATATGTAAACGAAAAGAAAAAAAAATGTGGGAAGTGTCCTATATTGCAATCTGTTAACGTCGTGACACGTAATAGGGCTCGGTCGCTTCTCTATTTACCAAGTCATTACAGGGGACACGAAAACGATGTTTACAGCGTCAAGTTCTGTGCGAGTACATGTGCCTAGCACGGCACAAATACAGACATACATCAGATGCAAATGCGTGTGGAGAAGGCGGGAAAGTGAGACACTGTCTCGCGGGAAAAACACGTGGGCTAGGAACAAAACGGCTCAGACAGCATAGCATAGCATGTAAGGCAAGCGGTCCGAGTCGGACGGGTGAGGTGGCTATAAGACATCCACATCGGACTTGATATGTACAATACCTGCACTCCCAGGCTGCAGCGCATTGCGTGATATATATAGATAGCTTGAGCACCTATAGAAGAACAATAAATATGCATAAGTAAGTATGTTAAGTACTTAAAATATAAATAAATTAGTTATTGTAAATGGAGTTTATCACTTACATACCCCTTACTAGAAGGCTTGGCATCAAATAAACCACCATGGCTGGCATATAATAGCATAGCCCTACATGGCAAGCTAGACTGAATATAGAAGAACATATAGCGATTAAAAGGATATACGTAGCACACAAAACTTCGCATTCGAACGAGGCATCAACGTATAGCTACCTACATACACATCTGTCGTAGCGGCGGGATACACCATTCATACTATAACAACTAGAGTTTGTACATCTTGATCTTTGTCTTCGTCGTCCAGTCAAGAAAAAAAAACCACTTCGCCGCAATACTATAACGTAGTCCTCTCTTCACTACAAAAATAAAACGCCTGCCTTCATGCCAAGAACGAACCAACGTACAAGCAAAAACACGACATATAAAAACAAGTCCAAAGCCCGCTAATTGCTCTCCGTAGTCTTTTCCGTAGCTTCGCCTGCATTATCTCCGTTGGCGCTGTTTTCTTCTGATTTGCTGTCATCTGGTTTTGGTAATTCGGGCTTATCATCTGACGCGGGAGGCTCCGGCTGTTTCTCCGGCTTCTTCGTCTTGATGATGCCGAGTAGACTATCCCCCGTGTCTCTAAAGCCGTCTATCTTGCTTAGTCGGCTGATGAGGTATTCGATATCGGATTCCATCCTATATTTCCATTAGTCAGTTGATTAACTGATAACAAGTATGAATATTGCTCTTACCGTTTAACACCTGTCTCGGTCTTAGGCTCTAATCCCTGCAGCGTCTTGCCCACCTGGCTCTTGTAACTGTCGAAGACGGGAGTCATGATCAGCCTCACAGTGCTTTCTGGTAGGTGTTTTGTGAGCACTCTATGAAGCGTGACCGTTTCCTTGACCAGCGTTTCCATGTATAGGTTCACAGTTGATTCGGTCTTCTGGTCCCAGTCGAGCGCCTTCATGCTCTTTGCATGCGCTGAGGCGCGACCGCTCATGATCTCGACTAGTTTGTCGTATATATTGTTCTGGTGTTCCTGGAAAAGGCGCCTAACCTTGTCGAACTCACCCATGAGGTTAGCCACGTTGGCGTTGTTGACATTGGGACCTGAACCCGCGTGCCGGCGAACAAATTCGCGGACGTGGGGAATAAGCGTAGAGATAAACGCTAGAGCTTGCGAAGCGAGGGCTAGATGTCTCGTCGTGATGTTTTTCAGGCCTGCTGAACGAGTAGCGCCTGCGCCGAGGATAAGTTGTGTGCACCGAGAATTAAAAAGTTGTAAGTACCCGATTAGAGAGCTGGATACGTCAGACGCCATGGACGGAATTCCAGATATGAGATGTAAGAAGTGAGACATCCCTTCCAGACATAATATTGCTGAATTGGGTAGTATAAACGTCTCGCCGTCTATCACGGCACTCCTTGTCCTCTCCTTCGTTGCGCCATTAGACTCGGCCCTCGGTCGCCCGTTGGAGCCCTGCTTGCTACCCGCTTCAGAGAATGGCGTCCAGATCTTGCTTCCTTCTAACCAGGCATCACTATCCTTCGTACTACTGTCTAGTATACGTTTGAGTAAGATGGTATTTTCTTCAGTGAAATCTTTGGCGCTCCACTGATCAGATTCCATGCCTTGGGCCAGCTTTTGCTTCTCTGCATCGCCATGTGACTGGATGAAATCTTTAATTTGGGAGTTAACAATGTTTTTCAGCGAGGTTCCGCTTCGACCAGAAATTGCTTCACACTCGTTTGCAAAGTAAAGGTTAAGCGTAAAGTACCGCAAGAACCATATCAAGGGGAGATGTGAACTTTGTTCAGATCGGACGCGAAGCACCTTTACAATCTTTTCCTGGGAGATATCAACCGCCTGTCCGTAAAGGTTTGCTAGGTCCATGGTTAAGTGGATATCCTCCTGCAAATCGCGATTTGCACTATTAAGAGGAGGGGATTTTAGAGGAGGCGGCGACTTCAGGCCAGCCTCAAAATCTAGGGGCTGTTGACCCAAGGAGCTCGCAACATCAAATAGTACTTTGACCTGAGTGCTCAGCCTCCGCAGCGTCTCCGTGACACTGATATACATCTTGACGAAGAGAGCCTCAGCGTCTTGTTCGTCAAGCGCTCGAAGATTCCGTGCGAGGATAGATGATTTCTCCTGCTGAGTTAGGGGCTTCGAGCTCATTGTAGAGGCAGACATTACAGACTCGTTGTCATCGTCGTTAGAGGTCGGAAGTGGCCTTTTGATGAGCTGTCGGATTTCCCGTAGGACGACCTCTCGATAGGACGCTATGGCAATTGTAACATGCTTGGAGCGGTGTAATCCATCTAATATTGGCATTAGTTGGGCGCGGAGACCTCCAGTTGCGGCCAAATAAGCCGGATGCGCTGTCGATTCTCTGCTAGGTACACCGCGAGATCGCATGGCCGAACTGCTCCACCTCAGTAAAACCTCCTGGGATGAGACGGTATCAACATGGTGCTTCAAATCACCTAACAATATATCGATGAATTTAGTCTCAAGCGCTTTGCCTATGCGGAATCGAAGAGTAGAAATGTCACCGTTCACACCCTGGAGGGCAACGGCATCTCTGAGATCACACAACTGATAATCGTGATTTTCAATCTTTCCGGAACGTGGTATCCGCTCCCCTGCAATTAATTTATCAAGAAAATCGATACTCTCCAATGCTTTTTCGACCTCCCCTGAGTCTACCAAAGCCTCACATGCCGCGACTGATTGAACAATCTCCTTTAACTGTTTTACGGCGTCATTCAGCTGCTGTAGGTTCTCGCGTCGCCGTTGCTTCTGGACGATTTCCAACCCATTGGTGGCAATCTCTTGGTCGAGGGTCTCGAGCTCTTGCCGTAGCGTCTTTATCCTTTCTACCGATTCAGCTGCCTCAGAGTGTAATTCTCTTAAAGATCCTAAAGCTGTAAAGAATGTTGTGGAAGCCGTTGATATGGACGAGATGAGGTGCATTTCGATAGTGTCCATATACCACGATAGTTTTTCCTGTAATATCGCATTCGTAGCAAGGGTTTTGCGGGGGGCTGGCACATCTCCATTAGAAGCATTCTTCTCTCCTGTAGAGCCAGGAGGTGGTCGTACGACCTCGGATCGTTCGCTAACGACATCAAATGTGCGAGGATTCTCCAGATGGAAATTATCATCGAAATAGACGTTCGGAATGGTAGATAAGGGTGGCGGACCCTGGCTCGCTACTTTCCGGCTAAAGCTAGAACTAGATCTTCTACGCATCGGGCGTACCGTAGGTGATTCAATCGGTGATATCGACCTAATCGAAGATCCTGACACTTTTCGAGAGCTGGAAGGACGACTGCCCGGTTTCAGACGCCCATCGTCCACAGCACTTGCAAACTCTTCGGCCCTACCACGTCCAAATACATGCTCACTTCCGTCATCGTCGCTCTCTTTTACACGCCTTAGCTGTTCATAAAGAGCTCCAACCTGTGTCAGGTAAGGCTTGAAGTCGGAAGGGTCAACGTGGGGTATGTTGGTCAATGTGACGGGCGGTATATCTCGCGCGGTAGGTGGTTTATGAGCACTGGAAGCGGGAGCGGATGTATGTGGGAGTAGACCCGTCCGTACTATTGGCGGTTGAAGTAGGGTAGAGATAGCATTTTGTCCTGTTTCGTGAACAGTTTGCGACCAACTACTTGATGTATCGAGATGACCCCCAATGGAGCGAATAGAGTGTATGGAGCTCGCGGTCGAGCCTCGTCGTGCCGTGGCATGCGAAGCAACGGAGCCTTGTCGATGAAATGGGAATTCGGCTCGGGCGGTGGGTGATAAAGGTGGTAGGCTGTCGACGGATTTGCGTGCTTCTGCGTTGGAGAACATTGCGAGGGAAGCCGAAAGGCTTATTGACAAAGCTCGCGAAAAGGCTACCGGGGAATCATAGCTATGCCGAAGCCAACCAAACGTCTAGTACAAGACGCTAGTGAGTACAAGTTGCGACTCCCCGGCGCAACTCGATCGATATAAAGGAGAGAGCTAGAAGCTCAACTGGGTCTAAGACGAAGGTTGGTAGAGTCTCTTTAGGTGTGAAAATGAGGCGACGACGGGTTTCGATTCTATATTTAGGTCTGTACGAAGTACGTTAGAAGGTCAACTAGTAGACAGGCCGTTGATATACGTAAGTTGGCGCCGATATCAATGTGTATATGTGGTATCGCAAACAGTTGAGTCCTGGATCTTAGTTATATTTAAGGTATATTTAAGGTATATTTAAGGTATGCGCACTTGTAGCCAGCTAGCTCAGATGTACCGAATCATATAAATTCCCATACGTTTCATTTCACGGCGCTAGTAATCGAAGGTTACATGCCGTTTTCCGACGGTACCTAGGTAGTTAATGCTGATAACTACATAATTGGCCTGTTGGCCTGTCTAACAACTGAGACATGTACGTATTAGAGATATCGTATAACACGTGATATCGGTGGTCGGACTTGAGCCTGTCAAGGAGTCAAGGAGCATTTAGGGGCTACCTAACCCATTGAGTTTCGAACGGGGCTTAGCGTCATATGCAACCTCTCAACGCGCCCCCTAGCAAAAACGCGTCTCCATTTCGCGTGTCAATTAACGCGGGTTCCCAAATTAAATCTTTCAACTTTCAACTTTCAACCCCTCGATCCATAGTCACGATAGTCGCTAATGATCCAATACTTCATGACACCCAGTTTAACTATTACGATTCTCTGAACAAAACACCCAAGGACGTATATATCCGGTGTCCAAGATGGATCGCCAATCAGTCTACTCGGTTTCCGTCTTCCAGTCCAACTCTGGTCCAAACGAAGATAGCCGGCTGCAAATACAGGAACAGCTTGTAACTTTTATCCTCGAATTCAGACACGACAACATCTTCGTCTATCGAGACCAACTAAGAGAAAATGCATTATTGAAGAAGTACTATTGCGATGTTAACATTACCGACTTAATCAAGTATAACGAAGAGCTTGCGCACCGAATAGTGACAGAACCCGCCGAGATTATTCCTCTCGTATGTCATATACTACTTACCGATATAGTGATCCAGATTAACTAATAACATATAATAGTTCGAAGGGGCTCTTAAGAAATGCACACACCGAATCATCTTCCCCCATGACCCTAAGGCTGTCATCCCCGAACACCAACTACTCCTCCACTCCAGCGCAGAAGATGTCTCGATCCGGAATCTGGATTCTGATACTATCGCAAGACTTGTTAGGGTACCTGGTATCGTCATCGGTGCCTCTGTTATGTCTTCTAAGGCCACAGAGTTACACATTCAATGCCGAAATTGTCTTCACACGCAGATGATTCCCGTCCTAGGTGGATTTACCGGTGTAACGCTTCCGCGAACTTGTGGTCGCCAGAGACCTCCCAATGACCCATCCGAGAAGTGTCCCCTAGACCCTTACTTTATCACTCATGAAAAGTCCAAGTTTGTCGATCAGCAGATTATTAAGCTCCAAGAAGCCCCTGACCAGGTGCCCGTAGGAGAGCTTCCACGGCATGTTCTCATCTCCGCAGACCGATACCTTACGAATAGGGTCGTTCCGGGGTCAAGGTGCACAATCATGGGCATTTTCTCTATCTACCAGAACAAGGGCTCCAAGAACTCGTCTACCGGCGGCGCCGTTGCTATAAGAACACCTTATTTAAGAGCGGTGGGTATTCAAACAGATATGGATGCCACAGCTAAAGGACACTCAATCTTCTCAGAGGAGGAAGAGCAGGAATTCATGGAACTTAGCCGAAGGCCTGATCTCTACGATGTTATGGCTGATTGTATTGCCCCATCGATCTACGGTAACCGGGATATCAAAAAAGCCATACTGTGCTTGCTGCTTGGAGGATCCAAGAAGATCTTACCTGACGGCATGAAACTAAGAGGCGACATAAACGTGCTCCTCCTCGGTGACCCTGGTACAGCGAAGTCGCAACTGTTGAAATTTGTTGAGAAAGCTGCTCCCATATCTATTTATACGTCTGGTAAAGGTTCCTCGGCAGCTGGTTTAACGGCTTCCGTACAGAGAGACCACTCCACGCGAGAGTTTTACCTCGAAGGCGGTGCAATGGTATTAGCAGATGGTGGTGTGGTATGTATCGATGAGTTTGACAAGATGCGAGACGAAGACCGTGTCGCGATCCACGAAGCCATGGAGCAGCAGACCATCTCGATTGCCAAGGCAGGCATAACAACAATCCTGAATGCACGAACCTCAGTCCTCGCGGCGGCCAATCCCATCTTCGGTCGGTACGACGACATGAAGACACCGGGCGAGAACATCGACTTCCAAACGACCATTCTATCCCGTTTCGACATGATCTTCATCGTCAAAGACGATCATAACAGGGACAAGGACGAGCGCATTGCAAAGCACGTCATGGGCATCCACATGGGCGGCCGTGGCCTCGAAGAGCAAGTTGAGAGCGAAGTGCCCGTCGAGACGATGCGGCGGTACCTCAGCTACTGCAAGTCGTAAGTCCCGCCCCTTTTCTTAACTATCCCTATAACCAACACACACTAACCCACCTCCCAGCCGCTGCGCCCCTCGTCTCTCCCCCGAAGCCGCCGAGAAGCTATCCTCGCACTTCGTCTCGATCCGGAAACAAGTCCACGCCTCCGAACTCGAAGCCAACGCGCGCTCCAGCATCCCCATTACAGTGCGGCAACTTGAAGCCATCGTGCGTATCACAGAGGCACTCGCGAAACTTACTCTTTCCCCCATGGCAACCGAGCAGCACGTCGACGAAGCCATCCGATTATTCCTGTGCTCGACGATGGACGCCGTCACACAAGGGACCGCGAACCAAGGCGGCCGCGAGCTGAACGAGGAAGTCTCGCGGCTTGAGCAGGAGCTTCGCCGACGCTTGCCTATCGGGTGGAGCACCAGCCTGGCTACCCTACGCCGCGAGATGGTTGAAGGGAAGGGGTTCAGCGAGCAGAGTTTGAACCGCGCGCTTATGATACTGCAGAGACGGGATACGATTATGTTCCGCAATCAAGGTGCGCAGGTATACCGGAACGGCGCTTAGAGTGGATGAGATGAAGTGGCCGAAAATGGCCTATGTGATTGATTCATGATGGAAGCTGCTTCATTTGGCTCGGCGTTCAGGTTGTGCTCGACAACAGGGTATCGACATATGTGGTTATGATTCTGAGATGCAATTTACATGCGAGCATGCCATGGTAGTAATTACGAACGACGTGGATGCTGAATAAAGAAAAAAGAAAATACTTGCTACGTCTCATCTGTCGTATTGGGTTTATAATATTTATGCTACGATTACGGACATGTTGTAGGAACTAACACAGAATACATAAAATTCAGTTAGGGCATGGCATAGAGATATATCAACGGCATTAGCAGTTTACTATCTACTTGAATCACGATAGACAAAAGGTCATTTCGTCCCATCCGCCTGATATAACAACAAACCTGCTATAGGAAATAATAAACGAAATCTTATCCCATTCTCGTCATCACCCAACTTGCTATCATTGCAATCCTTACAACACTCTCGCCAAGCCTACACGTAAGCGATCGTATTATCCACCCTAACAGTACCGACAACACCCAACGGCGCTTCACCACCCGCAACCGCAGGGCCACGGGCCACGATCTCGCCGGCGTAGCTCTCGTCGGTGATCTTGTGGCTTTCCGTATCTCTGAATAGAACCTCGATGGCGCTCACGGGGGGTCCAAAATGCACGCTGCTTCCATCGCCCAACACGCGGTAGTCGTTGAATTGAGTTTGGGAGACGGCACCTGCAACGCGAGGAGCAGAAAGGGCGTAGATGACGCGGGCGCCAGTGAACACGCGTAGGTCCGATAGCGTCTGCTCCGAGAGCCGGGGGGCATCAGTACCTGCGGGGTCTGCGACGTACAAGAGGCGGAGCTTGCCGGGTTTAGGAGTTGGGGGTGGGGAAGAGCCGATCTGGGGGTGCAGAGAGTCGTTGTACGAGGCGAGAAGAGAGGCCGCGGGCATAACACCATCTTGGATGAGGCTGCGCGTCTGCACCCAGTGCGAGGCACGTGTAAGGAGCGAGGCGCCGACTTTGCTTTTAGTCTCTTCGTGAGTCTTCTTTAGAGTTTGGGGAGTAGCGACGAGGATGGTGGGCGCGACGCCAGTGGTGGCTAGGATCAGGTCGGACGTAATGCCGGCGACGGAGTTGAAAGCCACGGAAGCGTTGGAGTAGAGAGCCGCAAGTGTTAGGACTAGAGGGAAGGACGCTGATAGAGAGGCGGAAGACAGGAAGAGATCGGCAGGTGAGAAGCGTTCCTTTTGAGGGATTGCTGTGAGCTGGGCCGAGATGGCGGAGACAAGGTTTCCCTGGGTGAATCGGACCATCTCTTCAAGGGTGCCCGACTTAGACTGCCAAAAGACGACAACATCCTGGATCTCGGCCTTGGGGTCGACCGGGGGCAGTTCAGTACCAGCTGTGACGGGGTTGTCGTTCAGGATATCTTGCCAAGTAGAGACATTGACGCTACCACCCACACCTTTAGGGACCTCATTCCAGTCGAGATGCTTGTTACCTTCATCAACAACCCAAATGAGCTGGCGAAGACCCGGGTAGCTCGAAACAGTGTTGTCGAACGGGAAAGCACCGGGTGCGGTAACAACGGTGTCCGCGCCAGACCTCTGGAGCATCGAAATTATCGCATCCTCTGGCTGGTCAAAGGGCAATAAGATAGCAGTCAAGTTGTAGAAGCTGCAGGCGAACAAAGTGGCAATAAACTCGACAGAGTTGGGAAGATAGATAGCCACCTTCTTTCCGCCTTGAGAAGTGATGTGCTTTCCAACCAGGTTGATCTGTCGCGTGATATCGTCTATATTAGGTTATTAGTCGTAACTCATTTCCAAAGTTGAGAAGATTGCCTTACCGAGATCATGTTCGATAACTTTCTCACTCCCCAGGACCGTCAAGATGCGCCCCCTCGTCTTAGGACCACTTTCATCGGATGGACCGGATACAGCTCTACGCCAGACATCTCTCAGGTCTCCATCTCGACCTTGGGCCCATTTCGAAGCACCCGGATCTTTAACATTCAAACCAGTGTTAAGAGGTAGACCATGAGGAGCCGAGTTTCCGCGGTAGACAGGTGATTCTCCCTCATTCCGGACTGGCGAGCTTGAAGCTTGGCGAGCGAGAAGCATGGGATGGATATCAGGTTCAACCCGGTTCATGATAGAACATGTTAGAAGTAGCACCAAGGCCGTAACAATTAGCGTAGAGTAGCCATTCCACTGGGTCAAGAGGGAGCTCAGTCCCTCGTCGAACTGGGTCAAAAGACTGCCAGCGCTCATGTTGGTTAGAGTTAGGCGTCAGCTCTTATATTGTTAATATCAAGCTATGATCCAGCAGGTTTCCCCTCAAAAGGATAGTTAAATAGATTCCAACTATGGCTAGTTACGCCATTAAACGACGGAACGATCGGAGTCGTATAAAAAAAATCGGAGGTAGACTGGAGGAAAGTCAGAATCCTTTCTAGATGAATCCGTCCGTGGTCTTAAGGACGAGGTACCCCGATGAGGTGAGATGCTTCGGTGGGGACTTGGAACTTGGGACTTGTTAGGGAACTTGTTCTCAGCCCTGTGACGCAAGGAGCATCCGAGCCTAAAAATGATACTAAGGCAGGTACCAAAGTACCTAATCATGGCTCGTGCGCTACAGCTCCCCTGAAGTGGATCTTGGCACTAAGATTGAAATGCAGCAAGTACATGTATGATGACTAAGAAATGTAACAGTAACTAGATTCAATGTTTGGGTTGTTTTTCGCAACTAACCTTGACAACCAAATCACCCCCCAAAGAAAACAAAGCAGAATCATTCCATCAGACGTAGCTCAACGACGAGGGCTGCGCTCTCAGCGCCACCATATTATACTAACCTCAGGCACTAACTTATAGTACAGGTAATAATAGCAGCAGATAAATGACATTCAATTGACTCCGTTCCCGATTCAAAGGTCCTTTCTCCTTTCTCTTCTGCAGAACTAGGTCATACTATCAGTATTGTTTCAAGCCGGCAGCCTGCACACGTATTCTCGACACGACGTTTAGTTAATTCGTCTGTACTCTCGGCTTCGAGACACTAGACCTGTCATAACAATCATGTCTCTATCAATGGCAAAGACGATCGTCACCCCCAAGAAACCAACACCTGCTACGCCACCAGTCACGGACAGCCCAGGCACGTGGCTACATCCGCGCCTAGAAGAAATTACCCGGCGACAAGAGGCCACTACATTCACCGACGGAAACGTCAAGCGCATCGCCGTTAATGTCGTCGTGCTTATAGCATTGATCTTTCTGCATTCTTTTCTGGCGCGAGTATTGCCATCTAAGAAATCATTCCCCTACGCGTACGCTTCCATGTCCTAATCTAACTAGCTCAACGATACTAACTTGCGCAGTGTCTGGAACTATTCGCGATACGCGTATTGGACAGTTCTTGCCATACCCCTCTTCAACATCGGCACGAATCTCCTGCCTCTGTTCAGGCCCAAAGATGATCTATCCGATATCCCTCTAACCCCCGGCCAGCGAAGATTGCTAGGCCTGCCACCGACCTCCGCGCCGCCTACGCCAGGCTCCGCATACAGCACGCCGCCCCGCTACTCCCGAACTCCTTCAATCTCTGGATCTGCGGGTAGCAAGCGCAGCTTCTCCAGCTCCCCTCGCAGCTCTGCCTCCAACTTCGGCAGTTCTATTGGACTGAATGGAAATGGCAATCTCGCCGGATTAGCGTCTCCACAGAGCCCCCTACTACAGAAAGCCATGAACGGCGCGCGCCGCTCTTCGATAAGCTCCCTAGGATCTCCTAGCCCTATGGGCGCCAGCACAGGATTCTCTTCGTTTTACGGTGGAGTTCCTGATAGCCCTAGCCCTAGCCCTGCAACCGGGAAGAGAAGTACGGTTGGGTTGAGTAGCAAGTGGCTGTACGAGAGGGGACGAGACCGCAGAAGTTCATCAAGCAATGCGTGGTTACATAGCTAGGGAAAAAGATAAGCAATGTAAGGTATAATGCGAAATACCAGCTTTCGCTACACTCGTGAGCCGCGCGCGTGTGAAAATTAAGTATAGACGTCAATATAGACGAGACTAATGCGACGCGGGATGTTACAGCATATTGGAGTTTTGTGGACGTAACAGAGGTTTTCCACGGTGGAATAAGCCTAGAGTTGTCTGTTGCTGGTTATCATAGCAGGTGCATAAGAATTTAATCGTAGTCCTGATAAGAGCCAGCCATGTGTCTTGTCCCATTCAGTTGATTAGCATACCAAGTAAAAATGACAATGATCAGTTGATAGCCTTAAAGATCCCATACTATTAAATCTAATATGAGCTGTCACAACTTCTTGAGACCCTACATGTATGTAATACATGTAGGTGCCTACCCAGGTAGGTACATACTCAGGATAGAACCTTACCAGAGGATACTCCTTCCGTTAGGGTTCCAAGCAACACCTATTCCAACTTCTTCTAAAAGGCAGCTGCCCCAAGTATAACTACAGGCTCCTGCACAAAATTACCTAAGGGAATAGCTGCTCCTGGATGGAAGGCACGAGCAAAGCAACTGCGATAGGCATTGAGTCATACTTTTAAAATATATGCCTCAGGCCTTCGACTCTACAGTCTTTACATTCACAATTACAATTCCAACTAAAATTATTTCTCTACTATTCTCGTTAACTCCCATTTAATCAACATTCAGCCCATCCTTAATATTTCGGGATTCTGGTTGGCAATAACTATTCTAAACAAACCTACATGCAGAGGATTAAGGCATAAAACTGTTATACTAATCGTTACACTTTATGGTCCTTCTTAAGCATATCATCGGCAAACCGAACTCCTGCTGGTAACTACCTATCGAGTCTTCACAACAAAAGTCTTGTTGCACCAACGGTATTGCCAAACCTAAACCACATAATTGCGACAAAGCCTTGTCGCAACCCAACAACAAACCTATAACAGGTCGTTGTCAAGGATTCCTTCGTCGTTTCCAAATTTATTACGCCAGCCCCTTCGATCGCATCGGCAACGTTTCTCAAAAGTTCTTGACGGAAATTCCTGTCACTTGATACAACGCCACGACAAAGCTGTTGCCACCTGTGTGCAAGATGCCAACCAAGTTCGAGATCCCAATACAGAAGGTGTTTGATGAATGCTTTTGGGGGACGCATTTCCTAAACCTCTAATTTATAAACAACAAACGTCAACACCAAATTCTGGATTGAACAAGTCCAAAAGGCGAAATGAGACTGAGACGCACCGCCTTAATAAGCGTCAAAAACGCAATCAAAGACATAAATTGCGCCTACAAACAACACAACCACAGGATAACGATGGTGATAACAAACTACGAGATAACCTAGAAGGCACTCCTAGTGGCATCAACGTTGGTCCTATATCTAATAAATTCTCACCGAAACGTCGTGCCACTCAGCGATTCAGAGCTTCATAATATCAAGCAAGCGGTCGAAGATTGGAGAGACGAGAACAACATGACTCAATCTAATATAAATAATTTTATCTAGGGCAACCTCTAAAAAGATAAAACCAAAGGTTTTTGGGCCAAGATAGGGCGGTGACGGTGCTTGCCCAGTCGCTAGTCACAATCAACGGTCTCAGTGTTGCACAGCCCGGGACGTCCTCAACCTCGAGCGACGACAACAGGACTATCTATTTCGATAATAAAAAGCACGTCTGGCTCGATCACCCGTGGTTCATAACGAACATTGAGGAGTTAGGAACGCTAGCGTGGTTTATACCTTCAACCAGCAAGGTGTTAACTTGGAACTATTCAACAACATGAGTACCTACTATGCCTCTTGTGGCTTTATGATCTGTCAGGACAACTACTTCATGGAGGCAATGTCCAACCTAGTCAACGCGCTGACAAAGCTCACAGAAAGCCTCGGAAACCTTTGCCAAACCCAGAAGACATACGTGGAAGAAATGGGAAAAGCCAAACAACCCTCGTCTACGGCACTTTTAGCCCAAAGGGTAGCACTTCGAGGGTGCTCTGGTTATAGTTGTTAATCAGATGGGGCATTCATAGGAGCATTGTAGCTTGGTTGATGTCTGATCTTCATGCTTTTCATCGCCTGTTCTACGGACTTGGAATGAAATGTAGCTCTGGATTAAAATCCAAACTAGATTATTCTTCATAGTTTACTAAAGTAGCTGCTTGTGTTATTATTTCTATTGACTCATTCATGTTACACTGTAATGCATGCGACTGTGCAATATACGCTATTTACTGATGCCACCAACTAGAATCTACATAATAGTATGTATGACTCCGTGTACTCCAGTGACCCTGATGCTCATTCAGAATGCTCGCTATGTCCAATTGCTGAAACTCTTATAAAAAAACATTCCCCTTGAGTAGTTAGGATGTTAATGTTTTAGGTAGTCGTAGCTCATTTCCGCCATCGTTTCCAGAACTTCCATCCCGTCGCTGCGTTGCCGGAGCTAGTCTCCCGCTTGGCGACCTGGTCCCGACCCTGTATCCTCCAAAAAAATACCGGAATCCCAGATAAGACAAACGTAACGACGATGAGCGTCTTCAACGGCTGAGCAAATATCGCGCGGCTGAGTAAGAACAGGCTTACACAGCAGAATATTATGGGAGTCGTAATCCACGTCTTGTATGGCCGCTCCAGCTGCGGCTCCTTCACTCTTAGGATGATCAGTCCCAGAACGGTAAGGAAATAGAATGAGTATCCTGCCACCCCATAAAACGTAACGAGTTCCCCAAATTCACCAACGATCACATATATAGCCGTTAAAGTACCGTTCAACGCTAATGCGTACAACGGCGTAAAGAAAAGCCCCGTTTCTTCATCGCCGATCATGTTGTGTAGTCGTTTAGAAAACCAATTCCTTGTCCTCGTAGTTGCCATACCAGGCTCCCGAGAACCTATACCCACACGGCTAATAATAGCCGGGACATAACCCTCCTTAGCAGCGGCATAAACAAGCCGGCTGCTGGTAAACGTAGATGAGTTGAGAGCGCCAAAGCAAGAGGCGCTAACAATTAGTGCAAAAATAAGTGCGCCGACGGGGCCAAATACTTTGTTGCCGAACATAACGGCAACAGTATTAGTAGAGTTGAGGACATCTAGAGGTAAGACAAGGAAATATGAAAAGTTGGCGAGGAGATAGCAAATAATAATAAGAGGCATCGCCGTGTGAATTACACGCGGGAGATCCCTTGATGGGTTTCGAAACTCGCCAACTACATAGTTCGTCTATGTTGCGATAATTAGCTATGCTGAACTGCTAGGAATCCTCTCATCTCTGAGGTGAAAACTCACATTATCCCAGCCGTCATAAGCCCAGAGTCCGGCATACAAGGCAACAGCCCAATGGGTCGCATCCGTGCTCGTACCTTCAAACCACGCGTGATTCTTCCAATCCACGTTAGCTTTGCCAGAAGAGGAAAACCCAGTAAGGGCCACCACGATCCCACAAATAGTAACGCCTATTAAAGCAATGAATTTTAGGAACATAAGCGTGTCGTTTACGCGGGTTCCAAGCTTGGTCGATATGCAATTCAAGAATGTCACGACGAACAATCCGACAAGGCCAACACTCTTGTTGATCCAAGGGTTTACTGTTTCTGCTTCTGCTCCGATCACGGCGCGCACGAGGTACTCGCCCATGATAATTGCGATTATAGCGGCACTACCAGGCTTGAGAACGAGGACTGCTACCCATGTGAAGAGAAAACCAGCCAATTCACCCATGATTTTGGATAAATAAGCTTGCGCGCCTCCGTTGAGGGGAATGGCGCCCCCCAATTCCGCATAGCTCGCCGCGCCCGTCCAGGCGAGGACGCCCGATATCACCCATACGACCAGTGATGCGCCAGGCGAGCCAACGTTTACATTGACCTGGCTAGGGGACGAAAAGATCCCCGACCCTATTACTAACCCTACAATTAAACCCAATCCGTTCAAGTACGTCAGCGTTTTGTGTTTTTCTAGCGAGGGTCCGCCCAGCCCACCATGGCGCTGGGCAGCTGACGTAGGCGCGCCTAAGGGGGCATAGCCAGGAGCGGTAGATGAAGAAAGCGGGAAGAGATTCGCAGCGTAGTCGAAGTTGGAGTTGACCGAGTACGTTCTTCCATGGCCGGATCTTAAATCGGGACGGCTCGCGGGGTTATTGTAATCTAACGGGTCGTCTTGCTCGAGCGAAAGTTTCCGCGAGGAGGATAGCGATGCTCTAGAGTCTGTATCCGAGTAGGTATCGGGGCCGCGACTGGACGATGCTAACGAGGCTAGTTCGAGGGAATCTCGAGCGCCTGGGTGAAGGGCGGACGAATATTGAGCTGGCATCGCAGCTAGCTGAGGCTATATCGGTAACCGGTAGAAGATGGTGAGTCCGGCTATTATCTATTTTCTATGTCGTCGAAGAGAAATCATGGTCGGTTATGAGTGGTCGCGCACGTATAGAAGAAATTCGTGGCGACAAGAGCTTGTGATGTCTAACTCTCGAATAGCCAAGAATATCTGAATAACGTATTAAGATTTGGAATTAAGAAAATGCAATGCCAATATTGAAACAGCTCGTATGATTATCTTAAAAAGCCCAAGCCGGGACAATAGACTGGACAAGTTATGTAGGACTCTAGAAGGAGGAAAAGGCTGAAAGGGTTGAATAAACCAAATACGGAAGATGGAACAATGAGATTGCGATGGTTGTTTCTGATCTTCCACACGTCCTCCTCCCCACAGCTCCTTCCTTCCCCTTATTCAAGTCAAGCAATGATAGGGAGGTCTGTGCGGGACAAAGTAATAATTCAAGTACCGTACATAATCCTTGGCGCATGATGGTTACCTTACCCAGTGATTACTTAATATTGATTTATGATAGGTACATATTGTTATACTGCTTAGGTGCATATACTCAAGCTCTTATCACCAAACAAACGCCCTAACGTTGTCTTTGTTTGAGGATAGGGGTAAATAAGATTGTTCGTCCTCGCAAAAGGTTCGTAGCTAAATCGTCTGATTTTCATCGTTGAATGTTTAACAAGCACGTTTACATTGCCATTGAATACTTACCCCTATATATATGCCCGTCAGGATGCATTCAGATGGAACTAATCACAACCTCGGACACCAATATCAGAAAATACACATAAAATAACACTAAGCTATTATAACCGGTCTCGAATATGTTTCCTAACAGCAATACCGAGAGCCACTCTGGCGACTTATCTTCTAGTTGCTCTTCGCGCAGCTCTTTTGTCACCATCCTCTCTGGCGGCACAGATGCCCCGGATGTCGATGCTGGGATAGTATCACTTGTCAACTCTCTCGTAGGCCGCGAAGTTAGGTTTTCGGAACAATCAGAAGAGGCTAATGAGATTCGTGGAGTGATTCTCCATCAAATGGCGAATCTTCTCCATCTGTTGGACTTGGAAGGTACTTTGCCTCCTAACAACGATGACGATTCGGGGACTGCTGATAGACGGGTCCAAAGCATCCCCTTGGGCCGCGCAACCGCAAAAGGTTGGATCAAGAAACTTGGCCGCGCATGGACTAGAAACTCGGCAGTTTCTTCGCACCTCTTGAGGTTTGAAGAGCTATACCCTGACTGGGACTCTAAAGACAACTATAAGCTTGCGCGGGTTTCAGAGATGGTTTTCCATGATCTACATTCAGTCCTGCAAGATCTTCAACAGTTGTTTAACGAATTTCCTGATACTTCGGATGAAGAAGACTTTGAAGTGGAGGATGTCGACCTTCTGAACCCCTTTTTGAGCGATGACGAAAATGAATTGAGCGATGATGAACCAGAAAGCGGCGGCAAGCCGATGTGCGAACTGCATGGTCCTTACTACGAGGAGAACCGGCTGAATTATCTGGAGTCGGAATTTACTGATGATGAGATACATGATCTTGCAATATCTCGACTTCATATAGATGACAGTTCTGACCTGGAAGAAGTCTTCTAATTAAGTTAGGTACCTAAATATCTACAGTTAGTCGTCCTTTGATGCTTACACTCGTAAGACTTTAGTTTTGTTACTTGATAATCTACAGAATTTTTAAAACTTACTACTACATTGTTCCTAGGTGATTGAAATATGATAACTTCGCTAGATGTCTCAAGTGACTGGTATATGTTGATAAAAATTGGCCCAGATTTGCCAACGGGATTAAAGCTAAGCTCTTTACAATTCGTGATGTCCATGTTTTATTTTGAAGATTTCGAATGATCGGATAGTTTCATATAAATGTACATAAACGTATTAGTTATTACCTAGTTATGTAATAATAAAAAAGTTGCCCATTACGAGGCACATTGATAAGATAACAACCTCGGATCGTTTTGAATAACAACAAGCTTGAAGCTATTCGTCAAACTCACAAAATTCATTATATCATTATATTCAGCCAGCAGGCTCGTTCTCGCAGGACAGCGGCCATGCGAGCTACCCGATGTATTCCGTTGTAAGAAATATTGCAGGTCAGTCGAGACCATACTTGAAGCTTAAAACCGTATGGTCTTCAAGTTCTCGAACATGCATTCTTCGCCGGACGTATGCTACAGCACAACTCGACTTGCCTGCTTTAGACAGGAAATGGCGTCAAGCTTCGAAGCGCGGCGATCGCCCGGAAGAGGGTAGCCGGCTTAGTAGTGGAACAGGCGGTGCTACTGCTTTAAAGCGTGATAATTCCCAGTCCACCAACAACCATATGTACATACTTTCCATGTTTCCGTATCCCTCAGGCAACTTACATCTCGGCCACCTTCGCGTTTACACCATAGCCGATGTAGTGGCACGGTTCTATATGTTACAAGGCCGTGATGTTCTTCTTCCAATGGGCTGGGACGCCTTCGGGTTACCTGCTGAAAATGCAGCAATTGAACGCGGCATTGACCCCGCTGTCTGGACGAGGGACAACATTGCTCGCATGAAAGAGCAGCTCGAGTCGATGAATGCGAGCTTCGATTGGTCACGGGTTCGTTCAGATATACCATGATAGTACCAGCGCACCGAATATTAATAACCACGTAGGAATTTGCAACATGTGATCCGGAGTTCTACAAGCACACACAGAAAATATTCCTTCTTCTTCATAAGCACGGCTTTGTGAGCCAGCGGAAAGCGACTGTAAACTGGGATCCTGTCGATAAGACTGTGTTAGCCAACGAACAGGTCGACTCAGACGGTCGGTCATGGAGATCAGGTGCAAAGATCGAGCAGCGCGAGCTTGAGCAATGGTTCTTCCATATCACCCAATTCAAGGAATCGTTGCTACGAGATCTCAAAAAGCTTGGCGAGGATGATGCTTGGCCCGAGAGAGTCTTGACTATGCAGAAAAATTGGCTAGGACGCACAGAGGGTGCTTACTACGAGTTCCTCGCCAATACCGAGGACGGAAGAACCGAATCTCACAAGGTAAAGATATACACAACAAGACCAGAAACTATATTCGCAGCCCAGTTCCTTGCTCTCTCCCCACATTCGCCTGTCGTACAAAGGGTAGCACAAGATGACCCAGAACTTCGAGAGTTTATAGAGCGCGTGAAGGATCTTCCCCCTGATACCACAGAAGGTTACCAGATATCACACCTAAATGCAATAAGCCCGCTGTCCTCCCTCAAGGACGTCCTAGAAGAAAATCTCAAACCTCTTCCAGTATATGTTGCTCCTTACGTCAGAGGAGATTATGAAACCGGAGCAATTATGGGAGTCCCAGCCCACGATGCAAGAGATTTTGCATTTTGGAGAAGGCATCGCCCTGAAGAGCCCCTTAAATATGCTGTCTCGCCCGACTCAGACGGATCTATCTCTACTCTCAAGGACGGGCCTTACTTGGAGGCAGGATTCTTGACCCCTATTACTGGTTCTTACCGCGCAACGCCCTCTGGCGCTGCAGCGAAGGATATCGTCTCTCAGATCAAAGCCGCATCCAACCTCGCAGAAAGTAACACAAAATGGAAAATTAGGGACTGGCTGATTAGCAGGCAGAGATATTGGGGGACTCCAATCCCTTTCATCCACTGCGATACATGCGGCCCGCAGCCTGTCCCCGAAGATCAACTTCCAGTCACCCTTCCCAAAGTTGATCATCACTGGGAAAGTGGCCGTCCCGGTAACCCTCTCGAGTCCGCCGCTGATTGGGTTAACACCTCGTGTCCAAAATGTCACGGCCCAGCCAAGCGAGATACCGACACGATGGACACGTTTGTGGATTCTAGCTGGTACTACATGAGGTTTGCAGACCCCAGCAATTCAGAAGTCCCGGTGTCCGAAGCCGCGGCAAAAAGCCACCTCCCAGTAGATGTCTACATTGGCGGAGTCGAGCATGCAATTCTTCACCTCCTCTACGCTAGATTTGTGTATAAGGCTGTTATGAGCATTTTGTATCCCGAAATGGGTGTCACTAGTAAAGAAGGTGGACATCTTAGTTCGTCACTAGACTTCTCAGGGGAACCTTTTAAGCGACTCATTACCCAAGGCATGGTACATGGCAAGACGTACACGGACCCTGATAGCGGACGTTTCTTAAAGCCAGACGAAGTAGACTTGTCAAACCCTTCTCAGCCGAAAGTAGTGGCATCAGGAAAGACCGCAACAGTATCATTCGAGAAGATGTCAAAATCCAAACACAACGGTGTAGACCCGACCTCCTTTATTTCCAAATATGGATCTGACGCTACAAGAGCTCACATCCTCTTCCAAGCACCCGTTGGAGAGGTTTTGAACTGGGACGAAGATAAGATTTCTGGCGTCACGCGCTGGCTGCGTCGAGTATATGACTTTGTCCAAGGAGTTCGAAAGTCAAGAGAGTTTGAGCCAATGTCCAGCACTGTCTTCAATGGGAAAGCTTATTTCAGCCGCTCTGTGGATGAAATGCAAAAGATGAACGAAAAGGAATCAGCGCAATGGGCTGCTGATGTGGAGGTGTGGCGTACGACGCAGAACACTATCGCGTCCGTTACCAATGCGCTAGAGAAAGTCTATCCCTTAAATACTACGGTATCAAGCCTGATGGGCCTCACAAATATACTCGTCGAGAACCAACTAGCTTCGGATATAATCAAGCGCGAAGCTACACGACGGCTTATACAGATGATGGCGCCTATCACGCCCGCATTTGCTGAGGAGTGCTGGAGCATTCTTGCGCCTAACAGCCAAAGCATATTCGCCAAGGGCGAGTGTATCTGGCCCGCCCTAGACGGATCAATACAGCTTCTGGGACGAAGCCACGTTTCTTGCGCCGTCCAGGTAAACGGTAGGGTGCGGTGTGTGGTGGATATACCAACGAAACCAGCAGAGATTGTAGATGGTGGTGATGAATTCCGCGACTGGGTTACAGAGGAGATTCTCAAGTCACCGGAGGCTCAGGCTAAGCTGGTTGGCGATCTTGACATCAGGAAGGCGAGCAAGGTGTTCCCCGTTAGAGGCGGCGCGGTCGTCAATTATGTGATTCCAAAGAAAAAGGTGTAGATAAAAGGGGGTAGTTAGAGGAGTATATGTTTGATTAGATACCCAGCTCAATGCTTGGCTAGATGTGTATAACTAAGATAGACGAATGTATATAACGGAAAAGAGTAACATATGGAACACTTCTGGCCAATGGACCTCTACATCATAACTAAGGTCTAGGTTAGGAATAAGGAGTGCTAAAGCTGGCGTACGGATTATACGTACATATTAGTCGTTAACCAATAGACGTGCTCGATTCCATTAAAAGCGGGGCCATACAGTTAACTCCTAGAGACACTGTTCATATTTTATACTTTTTTTGCTTTTTAGGTAGGCTCTTATTTGCTTGACATATTTTACTTCGCCTATAGTTAGTGCAAATGCCACGGCTCTCACCCCCGGCTATCCGGCGCTTACACGCCAACTCGCCGCTTCTCGCCGCTCTACTCCCTACTTGTAAAAACCTGAACTCGGCGCACAACGAGCTGCGCTGGATCCGCGAGCACGTGTGGTCTTCCAACATCGCGCCGCAGTTTCAGAACATCTCAGAGGCAAAAGGCAACGACGAGAAGAGCAAAAATGCGCTGTTACACCGTCTATGCCTCCTCAGGGGCCGCGGATATCCGCTGCAGTATATCCTGGGGACCCAGCCTTTCGGCCACCAGCTCGAGATCAAGTGCCGTCCCGGGGTGTTGATCCCGCGCCCCGAGACGGAGGCTTGGACTACGCATCTCGCGAATATTGTGTGTAAGACCTGGAAAGCGAAGAAAACTAAGAAGGAGAATGAGATGAATGCGAATCTGAGAATCCTCGATCTGTGCACCGGATCTGGTTGCATTGCGCTACTACTATACTCCATCTTAAGCCGGAAGTTTCCCAAGATGCGTGTCCAGGGGCTTGATATTGAACCTAGGGCCGTCTCGCTGGCGAAGGAGAACCTCGCGTATAATATAGAACGCGGCTCGCTTCGACAAAGGAATGCCAACGCTGTCTCGTTCGAGGAGACGAATATATTCTCTACGGACTGGCTCGTGCCTGTCCTCGAGCAAACTGGTCTTATTAATAAGCTACAGTTTAAAGAATTAGCATCGGAGAGAGGTGCCGTAGATATACTCGTCTCCAACCCGCCGTATATATCGCAAGAGGATTTCGACCGCGACACGGAACGTTCGGTGCGCAACCACGAACCCCGTCTCGCTTTGGTCCCTGAGCCGTCAGCAGATAATTCACTCTATGCGACTGTCCTGCCCCAAGATGTGTTTTACGCTAGGATTCTAGATGTTGCAAAGATACTCCAGCCGCGGTTGGTGGTGCTTGAAGTGGGCGGCTTGGCGCAGGCTGTCCGCGTGGCGCGGATGGCGCTTGAACGTTGGGGCGGCGTAGAAGAGGCCGAGATATGGAGGGATTGGCCTGATATGCAACCGCGTGAAGACGAGCCGGGGAGCGTGGACGTCGCCGGTATGACTGTGCCGGTCAGGGGTAGTGGGAATGGAAGGGTTGTGTTTCTTCGTTGACTTGATATACCCGAACTCGTAAATGCATAAATGGAATGGCAGTGTGACACTAACGCCCTGGATATGTTAGGTGCCTAGGTAAGTAAGTATTCAATATTTGAGAAAATATGATATGTGTTATATACACGAAAGCGATATTTACAGCTAATAGTATACAGCCAGCCAACTACCTTATATATACGAACATTACTCCATCCCCCGAAACTACCACACGAGCACATCTACTCTCTTCACGGCTTGGCAAACTTATCGAAGAACTCCATGATTATCTGCGACGCCTGTATATGCGTCGGTCCCTGTCCCGCCGCCACCTGCGAGAAGTTGATCTCGGTCGACGCCCAGCAGTGTCCTGCAGGAATATCAGAATGTAAGCGAATAAATAACTCCCGTGTGCAGATATCACATATGTAGGTAACTATATCCAAAAGAGAGGAAAAGAATCAGGTTAGGCTTACCCATATCATCGATTTTCCAGTGCTGCAGCGCGCCCTCCTCGCTGCCGCAGTTCCAGGTGGTATGGTGCACGTCGCCGTCAAAGCTATCCTCGACCTGCTTCGCGCTGTCGTCGCACCCGTTTCGCTGCGCCCACCATCCTAGCCAGTTTGAAATACTCGGCTCCTCGCCGCCCTCGCCGTCTCCGCCGTCGTAGTGCACGCTACCGTCGGCGCCTCCGTGGACCTCGAGCAGAGGCAGTGGGCTCCGCGCCGGCTTGCAGTCCTCGTGCGCCGCGTCGTTGTCTGTGTAGTACGATCCCGAGGCCGGCGCGAAGGCTGCGAATTGGTCCCCTACGTCGCTGCATGCGATGGTGTTGACGAAGCCGCCGCCGATGGACATGCTGGTTTTTGTTAATGTCTGCGTTAAGAAATACATACATGATAGTTAGATGGGAAAGGGGAATTTACCCCGTAGCGTAGATCCGGCTGTCATCGACGCAGTATGATCCCCGGACATCGTCTAGCAGATCCGAGACAAATTGCAAGTCCTCTTCGACCGAGGCCTCGGAGTAGTTTGCGCCAGCCCAGGCGCCCTAGGGTAGTGTTAGATAGATACGGCAGTTTGTTTGAAGATGGGGTGTTTAGTGACTTACGCCGACACCGTTCGGATAGACCATAATTTTCTAAGCAGTTCTTCCGTTAGTAATCACCTTCTATAATTACGCGAAGTTATCGGAACCACGTACATTCGCGCTGAACGTGTCGGAGCTCAACCCAGTGTCCACCTCGAAGAACAACCCGATACTGCTTGAGCCGTGGAAGCCGACCACGACCGGATACGGCGTTGTCTCGCTATAGTTGCTCGGTGTGTGGATGAAGTAGTTTCGCCCACGGCCGCTGCTCGTAAGGCTGTGGTATTTCGTTACGCCGGGGAGTAAATGGGATTTTCCACACCCTGCAGACCCTGCTGAAGCCGCTGTTGGAGCGGCGGCGACAGGGGTGCCGAGAACGCTCGCGGCGAGGATACTTGCGAAACTAGAGAACTTCATCGCGCTATCGCTATTCTTCCTACGGGTAAAGAATGAATTAGGTAAGTTTAGAAAGAAGAAGAGGAGGAAGAAGCTCACTTAAGCTTTTGGCCAAGCTCATCTGATCCAGGGGTTCAGGTGTTTATATACATATATATATGTAAGAGCAGCCTGCTTGTTAATGCAAGATCGGCGGTACCGATCTATATTTGTCGATCCGCGCGCACCGAGGAACAGCCCGCGATAGGTTAAGCTTACTACCTGCCCGAATAGTCAAGGTAAATCTGCGACGTCTGGTTCGACGCGGGGGTATATTAGTTTCACGGGGAATGTAACGTTATTATTATATGTAGGTAGTCTTGAGAACTCGATGCATTTCATTTCATTTCATTGCATTGTCTTAATTCACCGACCGAGAGGCAGGTAATAGAAGCTATGTACTTCATGTGATGTGACTCCTTTACATACATTAGTTAGGTAGGTAGGTTAGGTACATGATAGGAGTTATGGGGGGTTTGGAGTGGAATCCTTCATCATATCGATCTCGACGTTTTGTATCTTTCGCCAGTCCCTCCATAGTGTGGATGATTCGCCATGGCTATTATAGATATCCTCATTATCCATTAAACTCCCACCCTTAAAAGGGCAAAAACCCAATACGTGCTGGTGCACAATTATGTGCCCAAGCCAGCCGACATCATATTCCGACGTGTCGAATTCTTCCTCGATTTAGATTATCATCGTAGGAATTTAGGAGCTCTTCAAAATCCGAGCTATAGTAGACCTTAGGTTATAAGTTACGAGCCGTAGAACTGACCAAATCGGCCTCGCAAGAAAGTCCATCCATCGCTTAGAGTAGGAAAGCGGCTGCTAGGACAAACGCGAATAAGGGCAGTAGAACGATATTCGCAACCACGCCGCCTAGCATTTGCCTGGGTGTTGTCTGCAGCTCCCTCGCGAGGGCAAAGAACACGCCGTAAGTAGACAGGAGCGCCTAGCTCACGAATACCGATAAGGCGCGTCGCACGAGGAGTTGGGTGTACGGTCCTAGGGTCGCGAAGCCCTTATCATGGGTACCGTGCGCCTCTTCTGCGACGAGGGCGACACGAACCCACCACAGGTAGACTTGGAGCTGGAGTATGAGCGCGAGCATGGTGATTCCCGACCAGTACTCTGCCACTATCACCGGAAGTCGCTTGGGGACGTGTTCGAGGGGAGTAGGGTTGCCGCGGAAAGTGTGGGTTGTCATGATGGAGGGGAGGCCGATGAATTCTGTGGTAGATAGAGTTAGTACTCGGCCAGCTTATCGAAGGTAGTTGCTGTTGAGTCATATCATGTGCTGGTTTGCAAATGTATTATTCATTTCAGGCAACAGCCATAAATGTCACTTGTGGTATGAAGTCGGGTTGAAAGGGAAGGAGGGTGAGGGTAGGGATAGAGCAGTGCTAGTGGGAATAGTGCAGCATAGGTTGCGTGGTAAAGGTAGGAGATAAACAACTTTTAAGGAAAATATTAGTACTTACTGCAGTGACACCACATATAGGCACATAACATCCAGACCAGTCCGAGGGAATCGGGACACGGTGGCGCCATCTCGACAATCTCATCCACGACTTGACGGCGCTGTGGGACAAGAGGGTACGACGCCCATCGGCAGTAGTCCACCCATGCCAAGGTTGAGAGGCAGAAGACTGTTGTGTAGAACATCCACTCGAAGAGAATGTTGTTGGTGTTGTTGTCGGTAGACACTGGGACGTGGACGAGGTAGATAGTCGCCATTGTTATTGTCCGTGTCGGTTGAGGGAGTGGCGAGGATGATATTAGGTTAGAGTAGGGGTACGAGTAGGCGCGGGAGTAGGCTTAGGAGGAGGAGTAGGGGTACGAGTAAGAGTAGAAGTAAGAGTAGGAGTAGAAGTAGGAGTAATAGTAGCGTTGATAAAGTTAGGTTAAGGTAGAAGTAGATGAGGGAGTAGACGTTGTTGGGGGTAGAAGTTGGAGAGATTTCGTGTTAAGGAAGGGATATGAAGTTTCCATGCCTCCACTCATAACGGGGAAGGAATAGAATAGAATAGAATAATTATTAGCCTCGGTGAGCAGCTTGGGCGCGCGGCTTGCGCTTTGTACGCCCCGGGTAGACGAGAATGCGGTTTCCACGGCTGCGCATATCGGCGATGTTAATGTATAGTTGGCGACAGGGCATTAACGACCCCCCTCTCGACGGTAGGGTACAGCTATGACTTAGTTGCTGAGGAGTTTCGCGCAAGCAGTCTCATCACTGTAAATATGAAGCATTGTGCTGTAGTGCCACCCTCAGCTGGGCTAAGTTGCCTAGCGGTGGTGCCACGACGGCAGCTGGAGCGGGGACGGCGACGGCGACGGCGGGTACAGGGGCGGCGACAGCGGGTACAGGGGCGGCGACAGCAGGTACGGGGTCGGCGACAGCGGGTACGTGGGCGGCGACAGCGGGTACGGGCCAGCCCTGGTCGTGATTTGCCCTTCTGATATTATGTTGACCCTATTAAGGTGGTAACGAAACCCGTGAAGAGGACATTCTTCGGGTTAGAAAGGAGTAGGTATACAAATCCAACCATTTTCCCAACTAGATAGTCTTGAAATAGTTTGGTTGGTCAAGTCTTGTTGACTTAACGATGTTGTGTATCTCTGTTGACTGTAGAGAAATATTAAAGAATTAAAGTGTGTATGGTTAATGTTTAATGAAAGGAGTTATTAAAATAGGTAGGTAGTTAAGTATTATCGAGTTCATGTTGCAGAGTTGGGTTGAGTTGAGTTGCTTTCTGAGTTGTGTTGTTGGTTTAGTTTAGTTATGAGTTGAAGAGAGAAAGGAGGAAAGAAAAATTATCTTCGGCGACAACACGCCATGTTTTAATAGTGCCCGGAAAGGCCTCGCTCACCGCCAATAGTTACCGCCATAGTAACCGCCGGCAGTTCCTAAGGAACTAACTGTTCCTTAGGCACTGTTCCGCAGGTATTCACAGCTGTCCGTTGCTACGATCGACCTATTAACGGGCCGTATCCCCGGAAAGCCGTTACTAGTTACGATTGTTACTTCCTTCCGTCTACGAGATTCTACTTCACCGAAAGTACCTTGAAAAATCTTTTCTTGTCAGGAGCAACATAAAATATTCGAAAGTGGTCGGTGCTAACAGCATGATGTATTATGTATCTCTTAACTTAGGTAGTAGCAATGTTACTACAAACTGATAAAGAGAGCCTATGGATTGCCCCTTAGGTTAGACACTGCCATTAAGAACTACAAGAACGTAAAATAATGTAGCCCTAATGTACTCAGGCATGATACAACTGTCACAAGATCGACCTAGGAGACATGAAAATCACTTTGTTGTTGCGCCGGAATTTCTAACCCTACATGTTACAGAAGCCATTGACTAGATACTAAGAGCATCTTTTGTTCTAGATGTCCCCTGACAACATCGATTTCAAAGATTCCTGTAGTATATAATGTTAACTATGATAGATTTTAGAATTAATAAATGATTTGTTACTTGGGTTCATAGGAAAAAGTCTGTAGCCCCTATATGGATATTGCCTCGTAAAGTCTTTTTAATGTCTTAAAGAAGCGAAACTACGGCCTCTGTGCCATGTAAGCTTGGCAAGGAAAAAGATTTGCCTGCTTTGAACTTTGAACACAACCTTATGGAAGGGGTAGTTTCTCTAGATTATACATGAACAACATAGAAAGCATTAACTATCTACAAAAGATATCACAAAAATTCTAGTTAGGTACCTCCTAAGTCAACTTAAGCCGAAAGTAAATTCCTGGCTTCTTACGGTACGCCAGGCGGGTACAGACCTGTACGTGGGCGCATTATCTGTTCGGCGATTGGCTTGATGCAACAATGCAACACTCCAGATATAGGATGTAGGATGTAGGCTGTACCTCCGCCATGCATGAAGACCCCTGTTATGGGGCATACGATCTATCACATTCGATAAATGCGAAAATTAGTTCGAATTAGGTATCCATCGTCTACGCCTTTGTATGCAAAATATATGCTCATAAATCAAACACACCCACAATAACCAATGTTCAGGGTCAGCAAGGCTTGCAGGATTGAATAACACCTCTGCGGCATGGTCAGTTATCACGCCCATTCTTCATAACTCAGAAAGTAACACTTAATCAGTTTCGGAGGCTTTCCAATCTTAGAAAGAAAGATCGTGGTGAACGTCGTCTGCTACGGTTTCATCGAACAGAGTCCGAATCTCAAGCTTCTAGTCCGAGCCCATCTAGTGTCTCCGGGCCGATTAAAGAAGATCAAGATGAACTTGCAAGAATTCTTCATCCGCCAATACCCATTAAAACTATTGACAATAGCAGCCAATCTGGAAGTCACAACGAGGCTGGACCACTTGGTCTCACTGTTGTTTATACCCCTGAAAATGCTCATAAGGCTAACATCGTGTTCATACATGGGCTCGGCGGAACTAGTAGATGGACATGGTCGAAGAACAGAGATCCAGAATTATTCTGGCCGTCGAAGTTTCTGCCCCTTGATTCCGACGTCTGTCTAGCTAGAATATTAACCTTCGGTTACAATGCCAACTTCCTTAAAGCCGGAAGCATTGGCGTTTCCGTGTTAGACTTTGCTAAAGATCTCCTATTTAACCTCAAATATGCAAATGACAATCAAAATGAAGATTTAAATTTGGGAAATGTAAGCATGGCATAAATGATACATATAGCGTGAGGTATACCTAATCCAGACACTAGGTACCCCTTATTTTCATTGTCCATAGTATGGGAGGACTTATCATTAAGGAGGTAAGCATACTCTCTCATGTATATATCCCTACCTTACTTACGATTAAAGGCGTATATTCAAGGCCAGAACGACCCGGAGTACCAATCTATCATTAAAGCTATATCTGCAATCATATTCCTAGCTACGCCACATCGAGGGACATATCTCGCCGAAACATTGAACCGGATCTTGCAGACTACCATAATTACAAATTCGAAGCCATACATATCAGATCTTGTGAATAATTCCTTTACTTTACAAAGGCTTAATGAGCAATTTCGCCACATTGCGCCTCGATTGGATATCGTTTCGTTCTATGAAACTCAGCCTACTTCGGTCGTGTTTAAACGAATTGTGGGTGCAACTTAACTATGGCACGATCTTCTGCTAACATTTCGTAGATGGTAGTGGAGAAAGATTCTTCTATACTTGGATACCCTGGAGAGATATCTAAACCACTAAACGCCGATCACCATGGAGTTTGCAAATATGAAAGTCCTAATGATCCCGACTACATCGCCGTAAGGAATGTACTCAAGTCACTCCTCAGAAAGGCTATATCAGCGAGCAATCCTAAGAAGCCAACCCTGTCGATTCAGAAGGAATCGCATGGCCTGAGATCTTTTTTGGCTATTACAGAAGTTCCAACCGTCGATTATAGTTTCTTCCGAGATCAATGGGCACATGGTACTTGCAAATGGGTACTTCGAGATGAAAACTTTGACAAATGGCTTCAGGCGCCCAATACATCATCGTCTATCTTATGGCTGAATGGAGGGGCCGCAACCGGGAAGTCGGTGCTATCTTCGTTTATTATCAACCACCTGGTGGAGCGAGATGCCTGCTGTCAATATTTCTTCATAAGATTTGGCGATGAGAAGAAACGTACTCTGAGTACACTACTACGCTCAATAGCTTATCAAACAGCATTGGCCATCCCAGCCTTTCTACAGAAACTCCTCGAGCTGACTGACGAAGCCATTGACTTTGAAACCATAGATTCCAGAACGATCTGGGAACGGATCTTTAAGTCCATCCTATTCAATATGGGAGAGCGGAAGCCCCTTTACTGGGTAATAGATGGCCTGGATGAGGCCCATGATCCTCGAGCAATCTTTAGACTCTTATCAGACATCTCTTACTCTTCGATTCCGCTTCGCATCTTACTTGTCGGCCGCAGAACTTCGGAGATTGAATTTGCATTTCAAAAAGTCCCGAATCCTCTGAAATTAGGATCTATAAATATTGAGGGCCATCTGGAAGACATACAATGTTATGCGCGCCAAGAACTCAGCATGCCTGGCGGTCCCGACTTCAAAGAATCAATCGTAAAACGAGTGGTGGATAAGTCACAGAACAATTTTCTCGTAAGTGGTAAAAGTTCATAGTAGATTTACCTTTACCCCTTGCCTGAGACTAAAATAATCTTATAGTGGGCACGACACGCTATTAGCGAGCTAAATTTATGCCATAGACGCGCAGATGTTGAGCGTGCACTCCAGGAATTACCAGTTGGCATGGATGCGGTCTATCATCGCATGGCGTTGTCGATTTCCCAAAACCCGTCGTCGTCTAATAAAGCTTTAGCATTGAGCATTCTTCAGTGCGTTACTTGCTCAATTCGCGGATTGACAGTTGCGGAGCTATCGCAAGCATTAGACGAAGACCTATCTGAAATACTAGACCTTGAACGGTCGATTATAGACCTATGTGGTGGTTTTCTAGTTATTGATAACAGTGACAATGTTACGATGATACATCAAACTGCGCGCGAGTACTTGCTAGATAGCAGCGATCATCCCTTCAACGTTGATTCCAGGGATGCCCACGAACGCATGTTTAAAAGTTGCATGAAATGCCTTATGACCATCGGCCTCCGAGGAAAGGTGAACCAGAATCAGAAGCCAGAGTTTGTTGATTATGCATCAAGCCACTGGTCGTCGCACTTGATATCAACATCCCCCGATAGTGAGCAAGTTGGCGAGGTTCTCAAGAAGTTTTTAACGAACCATTGGGTTCTGACATGGATACACGTCCTTGCTTCATATAATCGGCAGCAAACACTAATACAAGCCTCACGGAATCTGTCAAAATATTGTTCAATGCTACAACAATGCAACACGGCACAACGAGACGAAGGACGACCCATAATAGAACAGGAACTTCTTCAAAGTTGGTCGATAGACTTTGTGAAGTTAGTAGGGAAGTTTGGTGCTCACTTGCGACGAAATCCAGAGTCGATATACAAGCTCATTCCGCCCCTCTGTCCTCGAAGCTCTTCCATATATAAAATCTTCGGTAAGCGAGAGGCAAAGAACATTTCTGTATTGGGTATATCTACTGAGAACTGGGATGATTTTCTTGCCCGCATATCGCTCGGACCTGGCAACTTTGCGTCGTCCATTGCAGCGTCTGGACCGCTTGTTAGCATTCTCGCCTCACGGAAGAAGATATTCATGTACGACTCCTCGACATTTGAAGAAATGCTGGCCTCTCCTATCGAACATGGCGAGAGTATATACCGGATGGAGCTCAACAATACTGCCACCCTGCTAGCTACCTACGGTTACAAGACAACCAAAGTATGGGAAACATCAACTGGAAATTGTAAACTTTCAGTTGATAATATCGCTTCACGGCCCCGGCCACTTTCTATGTTATTTGCAAAAGGCAACAACACTCTGCTCGTTGGTAGCGAAGACAAGCGGATCAGATCTCTTGATCTGAGCCAACAATCTCCATCCTGGCAGCTCGTAGCTGACCTGGAAGAACCACAGCTCGAAGGCCACATTCTAAACTCGTCAAGCTATATGGCTATGAATAAGGACGGGACTTTGATTGCTGTGGCCTACCGAGGCCACCCCCTTTCTGCATGGGAAATAGACGGACCGGTCCACTTAGGGCATTGTTGGCGAACTCACAATGAGAGGGATAGAGGCGATGTCATCGATGCTGTCTGGCATCCATACCTTCTCGAACTTTTCGGTCTTTATATCGAAGGGGTACTTTTCAAATGGAGCCCTCATGATGGAAATATCGTCGAGATGCGAACAGGAGCAGCTAGACTAGCAATTAGCAGGGATGGTAACCTCCTTGCAACCGGCGACGCGCGCGGAACTATCAAGGTCCATACTACGTCCGATCTCAATTTACTATACTACCTTACATCCCAGGATACGGTTCTGGGAATAGCGTTCAGCCCGGATCATCGACGCTTCTACGATATCAGGGGTTATTATGGAAATGTATGGGAACCAACCGTACTAATGAAATTCCCCGAGCAGACGGATAGTATTAAGATACGAAGCAAAACGGACAGTCTTAATCCTAATTTATTTACCGACTCCAGCCCATCCCGGAGGATCGATGCTATTACGGTAGTGGCAGTATCACCAACCGGACGTTTATATAGCCACGGTACGGAGACTGGAACAGTCTACATCGTCGACTTGCATAAAGAGAAAGTTATCGACACTCATACACTGAAGGGTTCACTGAGTATTGAGAAAATATGCTGGAGTGACGATGGGCGATATTTTTGCTTCTCCGATTCCGCTAAAAGGGTCTGTATTAAGATGATAAATCCGGGCACAAGTACTTCAGAGCCAACTACGGAAACCAAGGTAGAGGTTCCGATGAGGAGCATAGCGAAAGGCCCGATTACACAATTGCTTTTTCAACCTAATTCGATGGTTGTCTTGGTCTTCACATCTACCACAGCCCACGCGATCTCGACCACAACGCTGTCGGTAACTCAATCAGTGGAATTCGACGCAGCTGAATACGAATGGATTGCGCACCCGCAAAACCCGGAGCTAGTCGTTGGGTTTGGGACGAAGCGAATACAAATAATGACATGGAACTTGACTCATATGCAGGCTTATACGGTCAACTTGGAAAACCATCCGGATCACGCTGTTGTGAACAGGGTGCTCGTCACGCAGGATAAGAAGCACTTGCTAGTTCAAACATCTTCCCAAAGCCATAACCCAAGGGAGAAGGCATTGCATTATTTGAAGGCCTCGGATTTATTGATACCATCAATGGCTACAAGCGACGATCAGGAGAGCGACCCAGTAGTTATCACCCCAATCACACTCCCTAAAGAGGTATCATCTGAGATTGCACTGCCACTCCTATTTCAGTCTCACAGACATCTCACGTTTCTCTCCAAAGACTCTTCAGTCTACTCTTGGAAACCACCGTCTAGTTCTGGGCCCCTTGTGACGACGTTTATCAGTAGTATGGTTGCTGAATCTAATAGTTCCATTATAAAGCAGTCCAAGGAGCTTTTCGTGCTGCCAGGGGATTGGATTAATAGGGATAACTTGTCTTTATGTGCTATTTGGGGTGTAGAGAAGTCTTTTCTATGCCCGAGGAATGGGGAGGTTGCTGTTGTTAGGTGTCAGGAGTTGGGTTAATTATTTTATTAATTATTATCCGACGTAGAACTGAAGTCTAATGCTCTCAGCATTTAAATCCTATGAATTGCATTTTCGCTAGTAGTTAAAGCGACCCCTTTTCTCAACTTGACTCCTATATATAGCAACAGTGACACAATTGTACATATGTGTAAGCCATTTCGGCCAATTAAATCCGAAGAATTCGCACCGAGAATTGCAATTACTAATAAATGCGCCGCTACTTCGTACTGCTCCAATTTATCGACCCGCCAACTCGGAACTCCGACTTCTCGGAGCTACGTACACAGTACAGCCGGCAAATCGACGTAATGAACGAACCGCGCGCACACAGATTAGAAAAAGCGCGAAGCCGAGAATCCTAGACATTATTGACATGGCTCTGACTAAACAGACATACTTATTCTCGAGCGGGGGTTGCGAGCCCGTCTTACAATCGTCATGTCTTTGCGACCGTTAGCTAAAGCGACTTGGTGGAGGCGCGTCGCCTCGTCTCGAATAAGTCATCCAGTTTCACTTGAGACGACAGCTCGACGGCGTTTGAATACGGTCCCGAAATGTCCGGAGCCGACGTGCGATTGTGCTGACACGCCGTCGATGCCGTTGGGGAAAGGCATCGATAAGAGTAGCAAACTGAACGGCCTCATAGCGTCGTATGCGCAACAGGTCTTAATATGTACCGGTAAAGACGACTGGTCGTCGCGCATAGAAGACGATAACAGCGGCGACAACTTAGCTGCCGACCTTAAGGAGTTGATCGGTCGGGGAGGCATATACAGTGACGTGAGTTTAGCTGTTTGATCCCTAGAGGACGGCTCCCAAATACTCTAGATGTTGCGGAGTATATCGGTGGTCATGTTAGCTAACGCAAGAGGATCTCTAGCCTTACCATAACATCTCCGTCGTAAACGCTTCGTTCCCCTCCGCCATTTCGACGCGACCCGAGGTGCAAACCACATCTGTCTACCTCGTCCCCAGCTTCAAATACATTCCGTTCCTCCCGAGGGTATCGTTTGACTCTGTACAAGCTCTAGTGAAGGGATATCTACTACCGGAGAAGCTCCATCCGATGAATGAGGGGCTATCGCCTATACATAAGGACCGGCTATTGCGGAAAGAAGCATATCAGCAGTTGCTATACGGCGTGCGCGATGTCGAGGATGTACTCGTGTTGATCTGTGGGCATGGACAACGGGATACAAGATGTGGCATCTACGGGCCCATTCTGCAAGAAGAATTCGAGAAGCAGTTGCCCCGAGCAGGAATAGATGTCCTTCATGGACCGGCGATAGACGAGAGTGTATCAGCACCGCCGCTCCCCGGCAATACGACAGGGACAGAAACGCCACGCACAGCGAGGGTAGGCCAGATCAGCCACATCGGAGGACACAAGTTTGCCGGAAATGTCATCATCTATCTACCGCCAACCTTCACAAACAGCGCGGGCAATCCACACCCGCTAGCCGGCCACGGAATCTGGTACGGCAGGATAGATCCAAAGCACGTAGAGGGTGTTATTAAGGAGACTATTATGAACGGCAATATTATCACAGACCATTTTAGAGGCGGGATCAACCAGAATAGCGAGCTTATTAGATTATAGAGTATTTGGGAGTGACGGGATGTCGCTTCGTTCGATAGACTCGCGGTCTTGTACTATATCATACAACGTCAAACCTCAACTCATAAACATAGAGCATAACCTCTTAATACGAGATAAACTCCATAAGAGGCGTGCTACTGGATTAGAAATAAAGATATTAAGTGATATTATTTCGGATCTTAATAAGGAGGAATTTGCGGGCTTGACATTGATGATAACCAGGTGCCGCTAAATCTCTACAACTGGCAGCGTCTAAAATAACAGGCCATTGCAGCTGGCACCACGTAAATAATTTTGATAGTTCGAACTTCTCACTTACACAAACCCGGCTCACTCAACGAATTTATAAGGTAGTATTCACAACACAAGTTGTAAGCGTGTTCTTACCAAATCGACATTCGAGAGGTTCATTATGAGTTAGAATAAATGAGTCCTTCATCAACAATAAGATGCGCCGGCCGGACAATACCGCGCCTGCTCCCAGGGTCTCAGGCGCTCCGTCTTAGACCTCTACAACAAACCTCACCGAGAAGCTGGCAGTTGAGCAAGACCCCTTATATTCCACACAGCCGCCACTTCTCAAGTCTTCCACCAGGCCAAAGCAATGAAACCCAGGTACCACCAACAGGCGAGCCTCAAGCATCACAACCGCAACAACAACAATCACCGCCCCCAAAACAGCGCCCAACATGGCGCACATGGGTCCTCTTCAACCTAGCCGGCCTCAGCGGCGTATTCATCGTCGCAGTCGTGCTCAAGAGCATAAACTCCCAAGACGGCGCCAAGAACGCCCCCCTAAACACGACGTCTTTCAGCCCCTTCACCATCACCGCCAAAGAGCAGGTCTCGCCCACAGCCTTCGTGCTTAGCGTTCGCGCCGAGCAGCAGAAACCAGGACATAATGGAGAGAGTTCGTCCCAGCTGCTACAGCGGTGCTGGGACCACGGTCTCTGGTCCGTGGAGGTCAAGCAGCCGCAGTTGCAGATTGCGCGGCATTATACGCCTTTGCCTCCGAAGTCTGAGGAGGGGGAGGAGGAGGCTGTTGGTAATGGCAATGGAGAGGAGCTAAGGTTCCTAGTCCGCAAGGTTGATGGCGGCGAGATGTCGACGTACCTGTCGAAGCTGCGCGTGGGCGAGAAGATATGGCTGCGGGGCCCGCACCTCGGGTTCGATGTCGCGCGGCGGCTGGGTGATGCCGGGAGACACGTCGTGTTTCTTGCCGGGGGCACGGGGATAGCCCCCGCGTTGCAGGTTGCGCGGCGGGTGCTGGATGATTACGGCTCAGGTACTGAGATAAGTGAGCAGAAAAAGGGGGAGAAACCTACCGTTTCGATCCTATGGGCGAATCGATACGCTGCCGACGCGCTAGGGCGGCAACAACAGCAGCACCCCCAAGGCTCTAGTACTAGCAACGCACGATCATCATCATCATCCTGGTTCTGGCGCAGCGCAACCCCAGCCCCAACCCCAGCACCATCTAATGCAACCGACCAGCATACCTTACAAGCACAAGCAGAATCATCCCTCGCACTCCAGATCCGCGAGCTACAGCTCAAACACCCCGATCACTTCCGCATCTCGTACTTCATCGACGAAGAAAGACATTTCATCGAAGAACAGGATCTTCACCTCGCTTTAACAGACTCCTCCTCCTCCTCCTCGTCATCGCCAACCCCTGTGCTCCCTGCCTCTACCTCGTGTACATGGCATTCTCCAGCCCATCTCGTAGCACTTCCCGACGACAACGACGTCGGACGACGGGCTTCACCTTGTACCTGTCTGCGGGACAACCCGTCATCTACGCCTGCCCAGACTAAGGCAGGCGCGGATCTGATCTGCGTGTCTGGACCAGATGGCTTTGTGGCGGCGTATGCGGGGCCGAAGCGCTGGTTTGGGGGGACTGAGAGGCAGGGCCCGGTGCGTGGGATACTAGGGCAGATGATGCAGGACGAGGGAGGTAAGACGGGAGGGTTGGGGCGGAATTGGCTTGTTCTGAAGTTGTAGATGGTGTAATGTTGGAAAGGGAGAGTTAGTTCACTGCGCAGGCTAGAAGCTAAGAGGATATTATTATTATTATTGCATTACCTGTCTATAAGGAGATCCCGTGTAGTATATAAGGGATACATGATTGATCTATCTAGAGGGAAGAGTTAGTATGGGGTGTGGAACATGTAGAAGACACGCCTGGGTTTATAGACGGATATATGAAGGCGTATGGCATGTTATACTACAATATGCCATAGACCGTGTCAGCTCTAGATTCTAAGATGTAGATCTCGTATTAAAAATTTCAACCCGAGTTGTTAAGAGAGGTTGTTTACTGGGTTAATCAAATCAGCATTTAGACTACTAGACATATCCCACATTCCCAGGTTATATGATGTAACTTAAAGCTCACAGATACCAGAATACTTGAGTTGCCTAGTAGCTAAATTTATGTCTTATGTATTCTCAGTAATATCAACTTGCGTCTCATTCTACAAGTAGTCTATAGTCTATAGCCTATCCAGCAACTACAAAACCTAAAGCAACTCGTAAATTTCAAAGCCAGCATTGTTATTCATCTACAATTCCGTTCCAAGCCCTCAAATGCCCCAATAGCACTGAAGGAAATAAGACGCCGCCAAATACTCCTAAACTCCTACCCGCAGAGTAACACTCACTCACTCACTCACTCACATGCTATACGAAGACACATAGTACTAGAACGCATCAGCACAGCACAGCACAGCACGATCCTCAAACCAAGAACACCAATAGCAGGCAATAAGAAAGAAAAAAAACTCACCGTGACAACCGAGTCCTCCGCCCCCGTATCATCATACTGCGGCACATACACATACATAATCAGCGCGTGATCATCCGCAAAACACGCAATAACCCGGCCCTCCAGACGTCCCACACTTAACACTTTACTCCAGTCCCTGCCATCCACCCGCACAGTCGCCCACTTCTCCGGCCCCGCCTCGCGGAACCGCGTGCTAGGATGATCCTCCAGCGCGCACGGCAGCTGCGCGGGGTCTAGCTCCGGGTTCTCGAGCCCGGACCACTGAGACTCGACGTTGAGGGTGTCGGTGTCGAGACGTAGGCGCAGGCCGCCGTGCATGTTGGCGCTGAGCTCGAGTTTGGGGGAGTAGGATGATGATGATGATGATGAGGCTGTGTTGGAGGATGTGGAGACGCGGGAGGCTAGGGCTAGTTTGGTGAAGCGGTCGGAGATTGCTTTGAGTTGGAGGAGAGGGGGGAGTTGGATGTGGACGTCGGGTTCGCGGACTTTGGGCTGCATGATGGTTTCCACGGTGTCGGGGTGTAGGACTCGCACGGGGATGTCCTGCGTGATGATCTTTTCGCGCTCGCGGTGCAGGTTTGTTTCGAGGGGTTCGTGGGCGAAGACTCCGTCTTCGTCGTCGTAGTTACCTCGGTTCCCGGCGCCGGGGTTTGCGCCTATAGCGCCGAGACGGGCTATACCCTGGGGCTCTTTGGTTGGTGCAGCAGTGGTGGTGATTGTCATCGACAGTACAGGTATACCATCTTTCTTGGTCAGGCGGATCGACGCTGAGACCCCATTGAGAGCGGACTTGAGGGCGCGCTGGAGAGGTCCCAGGGGTAGTTCGAGGTTGATGGTGTTGTTCGGTTCGGCGGATTGGAGGGCATAGTTGTCGAAGATGAAGTCCATAGAAAACGAGCTAGATAACATGAGATAGTTAGAAAGGCGAACTCTGGTAGCGCAACGACTAGAATAGAAGGGTTTACAAACGCCCAGACTTGCGACCCGGTATCCGGGATCACGGTGAAGCGAACGGTATCATCGTCAAGACGCAACCAGGCGATCTTCTCGAGGGACGAAAGAGCGGCCACCAATTCTAGTCAAAATTAAGAATTAGAATCATGCATATATTTCGAAGATCTTCTAAGCTGGCTCACTCGAGAATGTGCGCGTGTTCTTGAGATCCGATCTGAACCTCATATTGGTTGTATCTTCAAAAGACAATGCACCACCACCATATCCTCGGTACGACTATGTGAGGAACCTGTCACGTAAGACGGGGGACGCGACAAACAACCGCGCAAACAAAAGTTGATCGCGGATAAGAAATGGATATGGACGGCTTGTGCTCCGAATGGAACCTTAGTGAGAGCCAAACAAAATGATAGCAATTCATTAATTAGCTTAATCGATAAGCCTAAAAAGCTAGGAGGTAGCTAATCCTAGCTGATCCTAGTACCTATTATGTTTGTTTATGCCCGTTTGTTTATAGTGCGGGGTAAGCAGTATGCTAGCTACCCCCTGCACCCCCTGCCGCCCCATCCAGCTTCCCCGTCTAGGGACCAAAGGACCAAGGAAAGTGGAAATCCGAGCCCCTCCCCCCCCAGCTTCTAACCCCCCGCCTACGCCTTTATCGTTAACGAAAATAATACGAGTGGAAAAATACCCCGCCATCAGATTCAGCTGTATGCAAGAGGTAATATAGCAGGGGAAATGGCAGAATGGGACCATGGGTTGGGCAACTAACTCAACAAGTAAACATCACGTAGATATCCACCAGTTCATCTGCCCAGCAAATATTCCTATAGCCTAACCGAATCCATAATGCAATCGCGTATATCAAATAACAACCGAGCGCAATTCCGTGTAGACCTAGCCTAAGAACTCCTGAGCTTCCTTATGACCCCGTGCACTCCGGCTATGTGATAGATTGTTCGCTATAGCTATAGCTTCCGTTATCAAGTAGATGGATAGACAAGTCTATCTAATGATCCGCTAGAACATCGAGAGGTTGCAAAGAAATCCACCCTTCCGTCCATCCGTCCATCCATCCATCTAGCCTGTAATCTATCCCTTCCGTCCGTCCCATCTAGCCCGTAAATCAGGCGCTTAATGCTATTAACATTAACGTAGTCCCTTATATGCTGAGACGTCTGTTATACCCCGGAGGTGGCGTCGAGTGTCGAGGCATCCGGCGTGATGAGACATGCGGCGAGACGCAGAAGACACTTCGTGGATGTCTCTCCTCGTGAGGGTCAACGCCCACATGAATGACGGTAGTGCGAACGGTGTTCGTAGATCTCTTTAGTCCTGGTATGATGGACTTGATAGCGGCTGCAGACCGGCCGCCAGCGCTAGTCGACGACCCACCTGTGTCTTGCCGTCCACGTTCCCTAATCCTGCTACGTAGCCGCTCCTCAAACTCGGCATTCTCGATACAGGTTCTACATTCGCCAACCACCTGGGCTCGGCGACGAGGTTGGGGTGGGGGACGCAGTGGATGACCCGGTCGTCGGGTAAGGCGGCGACGGACCTGGTGGCGTCGCGGAGGTGGTGGCGGGGTTCGAGGTGATTGCCAATCCAGGTGAAGAGACGGGAAGGGTGGGGGACTTATCAGGTGTCCGCAAGGATGCTTAGCCGTACTTCGGCAGATGGGACAACTCGGATTGATATTCGGATCGCGGTTGACAGATTCTTGTAGCCAAGTCTGGATGCAATGTGTGCCAAACTTATGACCGCAGTGTAGTTTTGTCCATGATTCAACGATACCCTCGGGATTAGCGATACCCACAGGATCGTGACATATGGGGCATTCTTCAGGAGGTTCGGGTAACGACTGCTTCTTATTCTTGGGAGAACTATCATCTTGTGCGTCTGAAGCTATCGAGTTGCCATTATTGCCTTTTTTTGGCAACAGCTTCTTTAGAAGCTTTAGGCCGACCTTGGGTATTATCTTCATGGTTGGTGGGTCGCTGATTGGGACTTCGGATAACGCGAGGTGGTAAAGAAGACAAGGTATATGTATTTGAATGAGAAGAGAAGCAGAAGCAGAAGGAATTGATGGCAAGGCTACAAGCCTGCCTGCCTAGTGAAATTCTAGGTCGCAAAGGTAGGTATACAAGCGTGAAAGTTATTTGTCCTGGATACGCGATAATGTCAAGGGAAATGCAAGCGAGCTGTAACCACAGTATACGTCCGAGACCGTACACACAGTTAACTCAAGTAAGCTGTTAGCCTGTTTCGGCTTTGACTGGGGAATCCGGTCCAATCAATGGACAGTGCAAGTATGTAAGACGCCTTTTGCTTTTCGAGACAAGACCTGACTGTGTATGGATGTTTGCTTGTTTGTCGGTACTCTCGTAACTTGCCGTCTGCAACTTGGGTTGACCTTGACGCGACGGGAATATTTCGGTCCGGTGAACGGTGGAATAGCTCACGATTACGGAAGTATCATGCAGTTGCGAGAATTAGTAGGGATAAGTTGTTGAGGAGGGAAGATTCAGCATGTCCATATCATGCCCTAATGATGTGATCAAAATGATTCAGATACGGTCGCGGCCAAAACACGATTGGTTGCTAGGCGTCTGCTTTAAGTCGCTCAACGTATGTCCACAGTCCGACTGCAGCTTCATTTGTGAGCCGAGCAGGTCGAAACAGACTGCGAAAAAGTGTTGCTCAAATCAGCACTGACCTGTGGGCCTGTTGGGCTCGGGCGAGGTCCAATGTTAAATAGGAAGAGGATATTATGAGATCCAATGGTCTTTCTCGTCTGGATTAGGTATATATGTCTATCTTTAGTCTTAGGAATTTCAACACATGTATTAGATAAGAGGTAAGTATAAGAGAACGAATGACGAAATAACTTACACCAAATACAAATTCGTATTATGTACCTGGTATATCCAGGTATAACCAGGTACCTAGGTATAATATCGATGGCTGACAGGTTAATTAGGTAACTAATTAAGTTAAGTCCTCCTTCACGGCATCATGTGCGCTGAATTATATCGTAGTATAGGACCCCAAAGGCAGATAAGCATCTCATGTGCATATTATTTTACCGTTTAGAGCTGTCCGAATCCGTGATGGTTGCAAGTATGCGAGATAAGACTGGAATGTGATGCTAACCACGTGCAAGTCGGGTGCAATTGAATTCATTAGCACGTACATACATAACTGCACCAATGTACATACATGTACATGTAGATTACATGCCATACCTGCCTCCATATATGTAGATGCAAGCGCGGGTAGAAATTGACTAGGCAGGTGCATCAGCTAGTACATGTAAGCTTCAAGTTGGTCCATTCCGCATGCAGCTTTGAAAGTCCCTTCCCTCGAAAGTTGACAATTGCTTCTCCCGCGCTAACCTTCGTAATACTCGATCAAGCTTTTGGGTGTTGGATGACTAATATTTGTGACACGGAGCCTTTTGGTATCTGCTGCTCGGGACGTTTAGGTACTGAGTTCAACATTAAATACTCAAGGCCGCTTTTGTCCCTCTTTTCCTATTACCTCAACTCTGCTAGGTCGTATATTAAATAACTACCTACCTAAGGTTACCTAGGTAACAGGTTGATTTCGAACATCTGCTGGTCATCGAGAAGCGCTATGAAGTCACTTTTGTGACCATTAGAGGCTGCATGCTGGCCAGATTGACCTAGGGATCATCCGTGTAGACTTATATGCCGATACATACGCTCGTCTTCGATGACGTGTTGACTTTATTCTTTGCTACCTCATAGCAGGTGTCCAATGCAATAGTGCTATAGTGGAAATAATGTATAAGACTTGATGTTGCTAGCAGATGAGACAGTTTGACTTTTCTATTAAAAGGCTATCTGTTTTGAATGAAATAAAATCGAGATTGTTTCTAGAATAGTCTTGGGAAAATGATGGGTTCATATTGTCTGGCGAGACATTAGCTGGCTTGTCTTATCTTAATAGATTCAATACCTATTCCCGAAATAGCATGAATCAACCTATGACTATGTTCCAATACAACCTCGTTGCATCAACTAAACGCTAGTTGCAGTAGTCGGGCATTATCTGTTCGACATACAGAATCATCCGACAGGTTTAGTATATATCGTCCCAAACTATAACGCTAGGTATCCACAAAAGGAGGTGGTATTTGTTGCGTATTAAAATACTGCCCGTCACTTGTTTGGGTAAGAAGTAAAGTTAGCAAAGTTAACTTGGTCTAGGGTTTACGAGGACTGTTAGTTTATTCCTTGATAATCCATGAGAAAGGTCACACGATAGTATCTACTAACGTATAAGTTGCCTTGTCATATTTAGTGTATTCAATGATATGGACTCGGGGAGATATTTGATCCCATTTGACACAAAAGGGACTCAGAACATTGCTCTCGGAGCAAACCACCTATAGTTAGAGATATGCATAGGCTAGGTCCTAAAGAATGAAGATCCATTCGAAACTCCAAACTTACTAAACTGGTTTACAAGATCCTCCTACGCCGCGCGTTGCAGTATGGCTCGCACCCAACGGAATTATGACCAATTAATAATGCAATAGTTTTCCAACGCCTTCCCATGTAGTCAAACAGCGGCAAATCATTTTGCCCAATCATGGTGTAGTTATTCCAAAGCCGTATTGCTAATATCATTATCTGATAACAAAAACTGTTACCGCCTGCTTTGACGCGCTTCGTTTTCCTCTTCGCTATCATCTCGAAAACCTTCCTCTAAACTAGGTCCTTGTAATTAGCCCTATGTCCTAGTGTAAAATTGCGATAGTTCAGACGGTGGGCTCCCTCAACCTACTCTCTGCTTAGTCTCCTTGTGCTATCCGCGCGCTCGGGATCATGGGCATCTAACGATAACGCGTGCCGGCGATCGTCGTCGACTTCGTCCAATTCTTCGCCTTCTTCGGAACTGAAACCTATGTCGGATGCGTCATCGGCTCCGACTACCACGCGGTCATGCATATTAATGCGCCACCTCGATGGGACCATCCATCGAGCTATTGCATCTTGCATCCTGACGCGTAAGGATACTGTATGGCTCGAGATCGTGTCGAGAGGGAGGTATTGGCTATAACGCGCATGGTAATGCCGCCACAATGGGACAAGTACGTAGGTGGATAGAATAAAGAGGATGAGGGAGATGACGGCGGGTATTATAAGTGTCTGTAAGAGTTAGGTTTGCGACATCTCATTATGTATAAGTCATAGCTCAGACTGACCTTGACTACGGAGATTGTTGTGCCCATCATGCTGGCGGTGCTGCGCAATACTCCTTTCTACCAGGAGAGCATGATATGAGGTCAAGTCTGGTAGGTTCTAAGACCGGGTTGATCCAACTACAACCCGCGTTCATGTGCGGCTATTAGTTGTAAGGGCGAGAAGAAATCGGCAGCGATTGTTTATAGGTATAGGGTTGTCGGCAACGGCAAGTCTCGGTAAAAAGCACGTCTTCTGCACCACGTAGAAGCTCTGCGTGAGTTTGCCTCTTTGGTCAATTGTATGTATTTGGTAAGGCTGAAGACGGAGATGGTTACGTACGTCTCGGCACGCGCAGTCGCAACTTCAAGTTCCCCCATGTAAGTGCTTACATAAGTACAAGTAGCGGTATCCACCCCTGTATAGGTACAGATTATTGTTCTCAGATACGGGTTATTTTCAGACTTCTTTGCTATTGGCTGAATTACTTTTAAATGGTAGGACAGCGCTGCTTCTCACGGGCCACTTATAAATACCTCTTAAACAACCTTTCGTGTTACCGGTATTGGATATTATTTTGTACTCTTGTGTAATTGCTCAGTAGGTACTTTTGATGTAAGGTTAAAGTAATAATCATATTTGTAAGTAGGTAAGTAAATAATAGCGATATTCATAGTCCCAGTAACAAGCCCCGCGATTACCTAGTATAGGAAAGTAGAACGGATATCGTCAACCGAAAATGGAGCTTAATGTGCCTACTCAGCTACTGACCCTGAATCCTTCTAGATCGGACATGGAGTACCTATTCTAATAGTCTACCTTAGGCGCCTAGGTATACTACACTAAGTACACATAGTAACCATCCCCTGACCAGAACCGAGGGGCCAAAAAGAGCAGAACAGACACTATTACGAAATTACCTTTTGGTGTAGTGGTGTGTTCGACAGTATGCAACCCCTTTTCTGCGCATCGGCTAAAGACTTTTTTATGAGCTTTAATCTAGGCACTTGTAGATGCCCTCTTATACCCGCACTCTATAATGTGTCTACGCCAACATTAGCCTCCATTCTGAATTATGTCTACCGTCTCTGCGCCTACTCATCTAATCTCTAATCTGCGGCCCTAAGTGCCCAGGGACCCAGGACCTCTCCAGATCGCATCATTATCGCCATCGCTATGTGGGATCTTCCAGGGGTTCATGTTCCACTTGATGTTTCAGAATCGTCCACACCTTTCCATGGTGGCATTGTGGGATTTATCGATAAAATGAAATATTTACGCATTACGCATTACGAATTACAGAAGATGTGTACCATTGAAGAATTATTAAAGAAGAAAATGGTGGTGTTAAAATAAATCGCTAATCTGATTGATCATTGCTTAAGCGTTAGTGCTAATGACAGGTCTTATTATTGCACGTTATGTACATGAAAGACCCCTAATTACATAGTATTCTAGGTTACATGATTATATGTAATTGCAGTAATTGCAGAAATTGGATACCTCCCGAGTCTTTCGTCCTTAGCTGAACTCCCGCTTTAAGACAAATTCAGACGGGCTTATCGCAAATGGGGGGGGCGAAAAGATGGGAAATGGTCAACGTGTAAATTCAATTGGTAATCCGCTTTGTACCCTACAAGTTGCATCCTACCTACCACAGGCCAACCACAAGTGCTCGGCATTATGTATGGTACCTACTGCGACATTGCACAACATTTGAACCCGCAACCCGCAGCCCGCAACCTTGCGTCTCATCAGACGGTAGCAACCTCCTTTGAGCAACAATATCACATCCCGATAACTACAACCACTATGACCACCTCTTTCCCGCCCCTACTTTGAATTCGAATTGTTTAGCAACTGACATTTGCCGACTCAATAACGAAGAATTGTTGACGTTTGATTTTTTTCTTCTTCTTCTTCTGCATTTTATGTAGTCTAGCGCCGTGTTCAGTTCTATGTGCGTACGGCCCCCTCTTCTTCATCGCGCATTCTCTCCTTTCACTAAATCACTAAATTCACCAAAAAAAATACCCTTGTATTTGCCTGCAATGCTTCATCGCCAAATATAATGCTAATACCACCACACATTAATGCAGGCCTTCATTCGATCCTAGATCTGCAATTTCAACCTGTATATTCCTTGCCGACTCCATATTCTTTGCCGGAGAACATGATGCAATTCATCCAACATCTCCAACATCCAATACACTGACGGCACGAATCCGATATCCCCCATAGGTTTCGATTGCTTCATTCGCCTCGTCCTGAAAATCGGATCGACACGTTCGACTACTGGGTAAATAGATCATCAATAGAAAGCGACTACAGCGCCGGCGTCTCAACGCGCCCTCTCCGCCTCACGCAGCCATGTCGTCCGGTGGTAAGGGCTTCTTCTCTAGGAGTAAACATAGAAGTGATAAGAGACACACTGGCAGCGAAGAAGGGCGATTCCTCGGTTTGGATAATGATTCCTCGTCGCGTACCTCTCGACATGCTAGGGACTCGTCGATAGTATCGCTCGACCGTCCGAGCTCTCCCGAAACCGGCGTCAATAACAACGCTGGTGTAATTACTGCCATCCCATATAACAGCACACATGCCGACCAACGAAGTCCAATACCCGTCGAATACCTTCCTCGAGGCGAGCAGCCGCCCGTGCGCCGGGATCTTCTACCCCAGCCCCATCACTTGAATAAAGGCACCGGTGACTTCCATCAGTATCCATCTTTCGATACGGCCTCGATTGTGAGCGTTGCCAGTTCTCAGCACTCGGTTCAGCAGCGCCCCAGCACTGGTAACGGCGGGAATGTCACAATGGCATCTACTGGTCGGCAGACTCAATTCCATCAGTGGGGACCAGCCTCGGGCGGTTCCCCAACGCCTCGTGCAAGCACAGCTTCTTCGATGCAAAACAGCAGCTACAATGAAAGGTGGGATTCTCTACCAGGTTATGGCATGGCCGGCTTCGGCAGAACATCTAGACAAAGCGACCAATCCAGCGTATTTTCAGCAGGTAATGGAGTACCCCCTAACAGTTCCACGAATATGCGCTCATCCAGAATAGCACTGCCTAGTGCTACCTCCCAGAGTTCCATTGCATCGCTGCCCTCGAGTAGAGATTCTCATCGCCTAATCAAACCTCCAGGGAACCCAGTATTTCCACCTGGGAGTGGAGACGGGTTCCCACTCACCAGACCGGACGACGACAGGATTACGGAACAGATGTTCTATGAGTTGATGAAGAAGCGAGGTTGGCATAATCTTCCGGAACAAGCACGACGGCAAATGCAGGCATATCCATCATCCAAAAAATGGACACTCATCTACCAGGATCGCCTGACAGAACTACAAGGGGAGCAAAAGAGGAGGCAGCAGGCGGCGAAAACAGGAGTATATCCGACGTCAAATTTTGACATCGCCGCAGCCTCTGATGAGGAGGGATCTCCTGAATGGTACGTGCGAAAGGTTATGGATAATACCTTGGATTTGAAAGGCTTAGGTAGCCTCGAGGTCAACTTGCGAACTCAGCAAATCGGTTGGGTGAAGCGATTCATCGAATGTCAAGGGCAGGTCGCTCTCACCAACGTTTTGTTGAAGCTCAACCGGAAAAGTGCTGTTGGACCTGCGGCCCCGTCCGACGTAAAAGCGAGCGACAAGAATCTCGACAAGGAATACGATATTCTAAAGTGCCTAAAGGCCCTACTAAACAACAAATATGGCGCTGACGATGCGCTCGCCCATCAGCAAGTGGTCGTGGCTCTCGTCACGTCGCTCATATCGCCGAGGCTCACTACACGAAAACTAGTCAGCGATGTGTTATCCTTTCTATGCCACTGGGACGGGGGCGAGGGTCACATCAAGGTGATCCAGGCTATGGATGTAGTGAAGACCCAGCAGAACGAAAATGGCCGCTTCGACTCCTGGATGCGACTCGTCGAGGTCACTGTAGATGGGCGAGGGAAGATGGGTAGTCTCGTCGGGGCCAGCGATGAAGTCCGCAGTGGCGGTATCGGCATGGAGAACCTCCTGATGGAATACGCGGTTGCAACGCTCATCCTCGTCAATTCGATCATCGATGCGCCTGAGAATGACCTACAGCTACGCATGCATATCAGGGCGCAGTTCGGTGCTTGTGGGATCAAGCGGATTCTCACAAAGATGGAGGCGTTCCAATATGACTTGATAGACAAACAGGTCGAGCGGTTCCGGACAAACGAGGCTATCGACTACGAGGATATGCTTGAGCGGGAGAATAGTAGCATGAAAGATAGCGTCGAGGGCGAGGTTAAGGACCTCAACGATCCGACCCAGATCGTAGATGCTATTCAGCAACGACTCCAAGGCTCCAAGACGCATGACTATTTCATATCCGCATTGCAACATCTGCTTCTCATCCGAGATAATGATGGAGAAGAACGGTTGCGCATGTTCCAGCTCGTCGACTCGATGTTAAGCTATGTGGCCATGGACCGGCGTCTGCCGAACATGGACCTCAAGCAAAGCTTGAACTTCACGGTTCAGAGTCTTTTAGATAAGCTACATACAGATTCCGAAGCCCGGCAAGCCCTGGACGAGGCCTTGGAGTCTCGGCAGATTGCCGACGCTGCCATGGCAGAGCGGGATGAGATGAGAGCTCAGTTAGAACTCGGTGCGGATGGTCTTGTTGCTAAGCTACAGAGACAATTAGAAGAGCAAGCTCGCTTCATCGAAGCCCAGAAGCGCCAGGCAGATGGTCTTAAGGCCGAAATCGAGAACATGCAGACGGTGCGTGCTAAGGAAGCGCAGCGGTACGAGCTAGAAACGAGAGAACTGTATCTTATGCTTAGGGACGCCCAAGACGTAGCCGCCTCTCAGGCCGTCAAGGGCGTCTCTGGGAACAAGATAGCCGATGAGGATCCTGCTCGAATGCAAGGTATTCTGGATCGCGAAAAGCTTATGGACCGACTTGCTATGCAGCTCGAACGACAGAAGACCCAGTACAAACTCGAGGGTAGAGTCTGGGGCGATGCTATTGGTCCTTCAGACCGCTTGCGTGCGCTACGTGAGGAAATGGAAGGCTATGCAGAGAGCTACCCTGAAGCACCGGAAGGCACAGGACTCCCGCTGTCTGGCATGCTTGGGACAGTCAACAGACAGACAAGGTTGTCCAGGAAGCCCGTCGGCTCGGCAGGACAACATATCTCTAGCGCTGACGAAGGTGACGACGACATTGTATACGAGAAGCCAAGAGTCGTCGAGATTAGGAGGCCTGTCATGGATCCTAAGCAGGCTGCCAGCCTCATGTCGGAGATCCAAGCGAAGGGTAAGAGGGACGATATTAGCGACTCCGAAGATGGCGCGACAACCAACCCATCTCACCCAAGCCTTGAGTCACAGTCACCCATCACCCCGAGCGAAGTTGAGCCGCCTAAGATTCAAGTTAGCGACACGGCTGCCCCCCCTCCCCCTCCACCACCTCCGATGCCAGGCCAACTTCCCGGAGCACCCCCGCCGCCTCCGCCTCCGCCTCCCCCTCCATTGCCCGGTCAACTTCCGGGATCCGCTCCTCCACCCCCGCCTCCGCCACCACCACCTCCCCCAATGCCAGGAATGCTATCACCCTCCTCCGCAGGTGGCCCACCCCCTCCACCTCCGCCGCCTCCTATGCCTGGGGCTGCCGGAGGAATGCCCCCCCCTCCTCCGCCAATGCCTGGTGCCATGTCCGGTCACTTCCTCTCCGCGCAAAATAACTTCGCACCAGGTCCCACAATCGGCCTCCCTGTTGTCAGGCCGAAGAAGAAGCTCAAGGCCCTCCATTGGGACAAGGTTGATACTCCCGAAACCAGTCATTGGGCAGCGCATGCTCCTTCCGCAGAAGCAAGAGAAGAGAAGTATGCCGAGCTTAGCAAGAAAGGTATTCTGGATGAAGTTGAGAAACTGTTCATGGCCAAAGAGATCAAAAAGCTTGGTGTTGGCACCTCTAAGAAAGATGACAAGAAGCAAATTATCTCTAGCGACCTTCGGAAAGCTTACGGTAAGCTCAATTCCCATATAAGAATTGCCAAAACCTATAAAATACTAACTTATTCTAGAAATTGCTTTTGCAAAGTTTTCACAGCTCTCTGTAGAAAAGATCGTCCAGATGATCATTCAATGTGACAAGGAAATACTTGACAATCCTGTTGTCATGGATTTCCTCCAAAAGGACGATTTGTGCAACATTCCGGATAACACAGCGAAACTCATGGCGCCATATAGCAAGGATTGGACTGGTCCGGAAGCCAGCAAGGAGAATCGCGAACAGGATCCAAACGAGCTTACCAGACAAGATCAAATTTACTTGTACACAGCTTTTGAGCTACATCATTACTGGAAGAGTAGAATACGTGCGTTGGCCTTGACGAGGAGTTACGAAGCCGATTACGACGAAATTAACGAGAAGATTCATCACGTCGTATCGGTATCGGAGGCTCTAAGAGACTCCGTCTCTCTGATGAACGTGCTTGGTTTGATTCTCGATATTGGAAACTACATGAACGACGCCAATAAGCAAGCAAGAGGTTTCAAACTCAGCTCGCTTGCTCGTTTAGGAATGGTGAAGGATGACAAGAATCAGTCAACACTTGCAGATCTCGTCGAGCGTATCGTTCGCAACCAGTACCCCGAGTGGGAGGGCTTCACGGGTGATATCCAATCCGTCATTACCGTTCAAAAGATCAACATTGAGCAGCTACAAGCAGACGCCAGGAGATACGTGGATAACATTCGTAACATACAGATGTCACTAGACAGCGGCAACCTCAGCGACCCTAAGAAGTTCCATCCTCAGGACCGTGTCTCGCAAGTCGTCCAGCGGTGTATGAAGGATGCTCGCCGAAAAGCAGAACAGATGTCTTTGTACTTGGAAGAAATGATCCGTACATACGATGACATCATGGTCTTCTACGGTGAAGATCCGAAGGACGATAACGCCCGTCGCGACTTTTTCGCCAAGCTAGCTTCCTTCCTCCAGGAGTGGAAGAAGAGCAGAGACAAGAACGTACAATACGAGGAGACGAGACGTAGGAACGAAGCTAGCATGAAACGAAAACACGGTCAGCTCAGGGTCACAGGAGCTGTCGAGAGTGGCCCACCGTCGCCGGCCTCCGCCGGTGCGATGGATTCGCTTCTGGAAAAGTTGCGCGCTGCGGCACCGCAAACAAGGGATCAAAGAGACCGAAGAAGGCGCGCACGTCTCAAGGATCGTCACCAAGTTCGCATCGCTTCGGGCCAGAAAATACCAGACCTCAATGAGACGCCAGAGGCCGAAACTAATCCCAACAAGGAGAGTACCAATGGTATCGCAGATTCCGATAGTAACCCCCTTAGCCCGGATTTCCCATCTCCTAGCGAAGCTCCTTCAACGGCTGGAGATGGAGATGGGGAGGATGGTTTGGCTCAGAGAGCTGCAATGCTGTTACAAGACATGAGAAGCGGTGATGCAGCGGATGATAATGATCCGGAGAAGAGAGATAGTTTGAGGAAATCAGCGGCAGAAGAAAGGAGGGCTAGACGACGGCGGCTAAAGGGCGGCTCCGGTACCGCCGAAACGGACGAGGGTGCCAAAACACCTATACCCGAAGAAACACCGGCAGAGGTTGCCGCAGAGGAATGAAAGGACGGGATGAAGAGCAGTGTCGAATCGAAACCCCCGCTACTTCCATCTATCCAACCGATATAATGTCTACAATATATTACCCAGCCAACCAACCCCAGGGGAATTGTGTCGGGATCACCAACAAACGAATTTTTGCGAAGCTATTGTAGAGCAATTCGAAACCAAGGCTCATATACGAGTGAAGCCCGGATCGTAAACTTACTGTATAATTACTAGTTCTGAACCTTGGATCGCTGAATCAGCACCTCCGTTTGACGAAGGCTTTCAATGCATATAAGCAGACAAATCCGCCATTCGATTACAATACATGACTGCACTCGCCACGAGTGATTGACAACCTCATTCATCTTCAATAAATGTGTATTAGTTACACTTGGCTTGGCGGCAAGATAGTCCAGGCTATTAGAGAAGGGACTCTTTTAGAGGTGCGAAGGAAGAGACACGGCCAGACCGGGCCAGATTCCCTTTGTCAGCGGAGGAAAAGGAAGGGAGGGAGTTCTTGGACCGACCGGCCAAACCCTTTTCTCATGTCGGAGGGTGGGCGCGCTTATAAGGGCCGGGGGCCGGCGAGGGTTGCCTAGTTGGAAGAGCAGGGGAAAGTGTGTGGGAAAAGGGACGTACATAAGCATAGTATATGACCTAGGTTTGTAGGCTCTACGATCAAGGGATATCTTAATAATTCGCTTCTTGCTTAAGTTGTCTGGTACTGTTATGTGATGCGGTGACGATTATACATGTGTGTAGTGTCTTGAAGTCTTGAGATTATTTATTTGATTGAGTCTCTGTTTTGCAGGGTATTCGAGTTCGAGTGTCTTGATGACTGGAAATATAGTAAGGGTCACTTATTTGAGTGGACGTTGAGAGGTTTAAAGTGAGACTACTTACTATTAAGGCTTTATGATGTGCTATTATATTACATATTATACATGCCTCCGCCACCTATCAGTTATAAATATAACTTAGTTTCATATTCAAGGAATGGTATTTATAAAATTCTAATATGATAAAACCCCAAGTGGCGTATACTCTCGTGCAAGCCTATCTAGATTATATATATCCTTTACGGAAGACATTTACTTACTCCCTTCCCATCTTAAATGTCACCCCTATTCCGTAACCCCCCACACATCTCTCCCTACAACACAAACCCATCCCGATCCCTCTCATCCTAAAACAATTCATCCTCCCTAACAAGCACCCCCCCATTCAAATCCCCCTTCCCCACGGACCCTATCCCCGACAAATGCAGCGTAAGCTCCAGATCCCCCAGCAAGCTCCGCAGCACATGCGCAACGCCCTCCTCGCCCCCGAGCACCAGCCCGTAGACGTACGGCCGTCCGACGAGGCACATGTCCGCGCCGAGAGCAAGCGCCTTGGCCACGTCCGCGCCGCTGCGGATCCCCGAGTCGAAGAGGATTTGGAGTTTCCTGTTCCCCTTTTCTGCGCTGTCGGTTTCTGAGTTGGGAGTAGAGGTGTTGACGGCGTGGACGGCGTGTACGGCGTCTACAATTCCCTTTAGTGCTCCTAGGGAACTCATGCCACCGTCTGCTTGTCGTCCTCCGTGGTTGCTCACTACGATCCCGTCTACAAGTCCTGAGGCTGCGATCTCACGCGCGTCGGATGCGCTCTGGATGCCCTTGAGTACGATGGGGCCGTCCCAGTGCTCACGCAGGAAGGCCACGTCATCGAGCGTGTGAATTGTGCCTGGGAAGATAGTCCGTGTCCATTCTGCTGCCGCGGCGCCTAGGTCATCGTTGACAGAGAGACCATTGTGTTTCTCCCTAAAGTGTGCTTGGAACACCGGGTCCGAGAGCCCAATAGCGATACCGACTTGGTCGGAGCGGAGGAAGGGATTATATCTTATGATTTACTGGTTAGCACAGGGATAGGGGGATAGGGGTATAGCAACAGGAACAAGACACCTCTCACCCATTATCCATATCACTCGGCCTCCACCCCAATATATACGTATCCAGCGTAACCACCAACACCCCAAACCCAGCCCTTGTCGCTCGCCCCAGCAACGACAAGGTAATATCATCATGTTCCCTCGCCGGCCAATACAACTGGAACCACCTCTCCGCCCTCCCCCCATCTCCCACCCCCGAATCACTCGCCCGCGCCACATCCTCGATACTAGAACTACTCGCCGTGCTCAGTATAAACGGGACCCTTTCCCGCGCCGCTGCTCTGGCAGCCGCTATCTCCCCGTCGGGATTCATGATCTTCTGGACGCCGACGGGTGCGCAGGCGATAGGGTACGGGAGGGTTCTACCCAGTACATTGACGGAGAGGTCCGGGAACACCTTTCCCTGATTCTCTCCCCTTTCGCTCTTCTCCCCATCTTTACTTTTTAAGGACCGGGACCGACCTAACCCTAATCGCCGCGGCACAATAGACCATTTCCCAAAAGCCTCCCTATTCTTGCGCGCCGTCTCGCCCGTCCCCGCGCACCCGAGCACATAGCCCCTTGCGTCGGCAGACATGCGCTCCGCAGCGAGGTGTTCCCATTCTAGAGGCTTAAAGGTGAACGGGGGGCGCTGGTACTGCAGTCCGCGCTGGTATACCTCTGCTTCGTAGGCGATGGGGTCGGGGTCGGAGTGTTTCTCCGTGTTGGGACGGGTGCTGGGATGGGATTGGGATGTCATGATGTCCGTGTTGGATAGAAGAAATACTTAGGATGGGAACGAAAGGGGCTAAAAATATATGGTAGTAGGTAGTAGGTAGAAATAAGGGTTTAGAGTAGAATCACTATAAAAATACTCGAAACATTGAACGAACGCACTCGTCTACTTCCTCCTACGGGGTTTTCGTCTATACTAATACTGATACCTAGGTCCTAGGTACCTAACTAACCTCAGTCCTCCGTGCCGTTGGCCGAGACCGCGTCATCTTCTATGCAAGTATAAAGTTATAAAGTTCACCCCCGGCTTATACGCGGATCTACGTTATCATGATGTCATCTTATAAGGAAATAGAGCGAAGTGTTTACTTGTAGCACAAGAGTTAATAGAAGATTTTACACTATTTCTATTATGCTACATCGTCAATTTATCTAAGGACATAAGTTATCGTCTGGGTTAATATTTTCAAGCTTACCCAAGCCCTGGTTAGAATAACAGACCTAGGAAAGAGGTTAAAGGTAGTTCAGATATACCTGTTAGATATACCTGTTATAAGCCTCATATATTGAAATATAATACGTATTAAATACAATATTTTATATACAATATTTTATAAATCTCACCTTTGAACAAAAAGAATATTTATCATATCGGAATGTACATGTCTAGGTAGGTTAGGTAGTTACTTTGTGAGTCCTACCAACGTCTCTTAAAAAGGGGCCTTAAAAGGCCTATCAACAACCATTCAATTTCACTTCACCAAGAAAAAGGCTAAAAAATCATAAATCCAAAACACCATTTATTCTCTTTCAGCACACACGCCAGCCTCAAAAGCCGGTCGTCGTTTTATTACAAGAATCTCTAGGTCTATATAATACAAGCCGGCAGCGCGCACGTCGAGCCGTAACAGATGTATCAATGTAAAAGCCTTGCGCCCGCGCCTGTGCCAATCCCTATCTCCTCCGTTATGCGTGTATCAGTCAGTCAATCATTTATCACAATTCAATGCATTTCTTCTTTACTTTGCCATGACGTCTACGTAGCGCCCTGTCTTCTTCGCCTTCTTGCCTCCCTTCCTCGGTCCCGCCGCGCCGAGCAAGTCGTCAATGCTGCTCGCGTTGCTCAGGCTTGTAGCCGGCCTGCTAGGCGGTGCGCTGGGAGGCCCGCCTGGGGCGCTGCTAGTACTCTGGCTCGAGACGGACCGCATCATAGGTGGGGCGCCACCGGGAACCATGAGGTTATCGTGGGAAATAGCACTTCTAAGCAGTGTAGGCGCAGGCGTAAGATGAGCACGGGGAGGGCCGGCGGGAGGGACTCCTAAGCCTCCTGGAGTAGCGGATGTAGATCCCGGTGGCGGAGGGGTGCCAGCGGCACGAGGAGGAGGCGGTGTTGCCGACTTAACAGGAGTGTTCTCAGCTCCCGGTTTCTTGTTGACCCAGCGCTTGAGGTCCGGATCGTATACGAAGCTGCTGGCTTCGCCGAGTTTGGCCTTGATGGGCTTATTGGCTGGTTCGAGTGACTCCTTTTTGGCACCACCGCCGAACCATCCTCCAAAACCCCAGCCTTTCTTAGCTGCCTTCGCCTCAGCAGCACGTTTTTCTACAAGTCTGTTAGTAACATGTGTATAAGAGACATTGGTTTTGTACTCACCCTCTTCCTCGGCAATCTTCTTGACCATCTCCGCGTTCTCCCGGTCTATATCCGCCTTGCTCTTCCCCTGCGACTTCAGGCCAGGAATATCATCGTCGTCGTCGTCGAAAAAGCTCTTCTTCTTAGGCTTCGATTCACTGGGGGAATCGCCCTCGTTATCACCCGGACCCGGCTCGTAGGATAGAGGCTCAAAGCCAGAAGGTTGGTATGAAGGTGGTTCGTATCCACCCGAGTAACTTTCAGACTGTCCTGTAGGAGCCACGAAGGAGTTCATCGGTGGCGGCTCATATCCGTACGAGGGAGGCTGATAACCCTGCGTCGCGCTGGTGTCATTTACTGAAACTTCCGGTTTCGACTCCGTAAGTGAGGCTTGCGACTGGGAAGCATTGGGATTCGGCGAGGTTTGTGCGGCTCCGTACGGATCGTAACCCGGGAATGAAATTCCAATACCCGTTGGTTGTGGGGCTGAATCTGATCCTTGGGAGACTGGCATATATGGAGATGTCTGAGAAGCGGCCGGTGCCACAGGTTGATATGCAGAAGTGGACGGGTTATGATTAGGGGTATAAGGGCTTCCAAATGTAGACTGCATATCTGATCCTCTTCTTACTGGTAGCTCAAAAGAGCTCCGTGTAATTTCACCCGAGGTCCTTTCCATTGAAGACCTAGGAGCTGGGTTGTAAGAAGCACTGGGGTCGTATGGGTTATTCGAGGATTGAGATGCCAGTGGCGCATAGCGTGAAGCGGCCTTAGTGGCTGGGAGGGTAGGTGATGGGTTACCGTTTCCGTATACTTCGAAGTTCGAGACGGACGGAGACCGACTAATTGTCGGCGTCCCACCTGCAAGACGAGAAAAGGGCCCAGACTCAGCGCCGGCCTCGCCCGACGCTGCATTGCCGGAACCATCCTCATCATCGCCAGCAACAAACTTGTTGAAGCGGCTCCACATGTTTGTAGACACCTGGTCCATCCTAGGCTTCGGAATCCACGAAGATGACTCTTCCTTTGGCGCCTGCTTCAATCTTCTCATAAGATCGTCCACGGCAGACTCTAGAACGGGGTGGTAATAAGGCGACCTCTTCGTCTGCGCGGTGATGGCGTTGTAGATACCCTCGCAGTATTGTAAAGCCTTATCTCTAAACCCATGTTCAGCAAGGGTCATAGCATGTTGTAGCTTGTAAGCAGCCAAGTGTGGGCAACTCTGAACAGCATTTGAGCCTCCCGCAAGGGACAACCCATACTCGTACACTTCGCTAAGTTGCAAGGCCTCCGTCTCCTTCGCGAACTGGTCGGCTTGGCGACGGTGATCAGCTCCAACAAGGACGAAGTTGACGTTAGGGTCATCAAGACCGCCAAAAATAGCAGAGTTTCTAGCAAAAATGTAGCAGATGTGAGCTGCTTCCGCTCTTCCGTATCCAGAGAGCAAGTTGCCAAGCGATCGTAAGGCTTGAGCATCGCCAAAACTCCTATTGCTGAGTATTAAGCCAAGTGTCTCGCGCCATTTGTCGAGACCCGCCAATGCATCCTGGGATGCACCAATAGAAGCCGAAGTAGATATAAGCTGAAGACCTGCCCGCGCGTGAACCGGGACGAGCTCGTCTACCGACTCCTCAAAATTTCCAGAAAGAACGCCATAAAGGGCAGCGAGCGACTCGTTTCCGTGACCCGGATGGTTCACCTCCTTCTTGATGAACTCTTGAGCAACCTTTTTGTACAATTCCGGACTTTGCATCGTGTTCGAAATAAGCATCGCGTGACCCCAAAGCCTCTTATCCACCGCTGCCCAAACGGCCTTCTCTCGGTCACCGGACAGCAGATGGTGCCGGATCTGCTCGACAGTCGTAGAATCGACGGCGTCCGCTTGCAAATTAGTTACGGTTGAAGATATTCCCGTTAAATCGGCTCCAGTAGAAATCGCAGCAGCAAGCTCAGGATTATCGGTGTCGAGACCAGGTGAGATAACTTCCCTAACAGCCTTTTCTACTGTAGGATTTCCTTCGAGAAGACCGTCATTTTCAACAAAAACCCGTAGAATCTTCCACAACAATACCCGCTCAATAGCTCTCTTGTCCTCGTGTGAAACAGCGTGTAAGAACGAAAGGTTCGGAAGACCTCTTTCAAGAGCATCAATACCAGCCGTCAGCCATGCAACTGTTTCTTTCTTCTTCGATTTGCCCTTCAAAGGTCCTGGGAATTTGGCTAGACGCTCTTCCAACGGTAGGATATCCTTGACATGCCGTACTTTCACCTCGCCTGGGCTACGCACGATCATCGGGAGCGCCTGGCTAATGCCATATCGTGGGACATCAGTTGGGAAAGAGGTCACAAGTGTTCCTCCCACACCCCATGTAACGACGGGACAACCTCGCCATCTCTTTAAGGGGTCCTGCTCTCGACCATCGGTTGGCGGGACAAGATTGAGGTGCTGAGACATGCCCCGGGCTCTAACAGCAGGTCGAGCTGCATCCGCATTCGGTATCTCTCGTGGGGAGGAAGCACCTTGAACGGAAGACGGCCGAGGGACAGGGTCAATCGGCCTTATTCCAGCCCGATTTCCATAAAGAGCTCCAGGTGATTGGGTTTGAGACCGAGGCGGTGGCACAAAGTTGACCTCTTTATGTGGTACGGATGCGGGAGACATCGGGACATAATTCGATACCGCTCTCTTAGGGGGAGATATCGCGTTATAGGTAGGAGAGCTGAGAGGCGGGGGGGTATGTCTGGCTTGTCTTGGACTATATTTAGATTCGGACGGAGCCTTAGGCGCAACCGGCGGAGATCGTAGTAAGGATTGCTCCTCCTCAACTTCCTGCGTTGGTGGTAACGAAGGCACTCTTGTAAGACGAGGCTCATACTGAGATGAGCTTCGACGTTCAGAGGTGCCTTCAACGTTCATAGGAGTTGGCATCGGCTTATCGTGTAAGATTTCAAAATGAGAGTGAGCAAGGGGACTGGAAGTTCGCGGTTGGTGTGCGAGCATCGGGGGTGGAACAGCGGTGTATCCACCACTAGACGACCGGACGGAAGGCGGAGCGGGCGAATATCGGCTGGAAGCAGGCGGTGGGATACCGTTTGCTACTGATAATTGAGGCGGCGCAGGAGAGTATCTTGAGGTCGCGACGGGAGGCGCACTTGGCGTGGGTAGTGAATTGGATTGTACCGAGGCATAAGGATTAACACGCTCTGGAGCAACTAGTGGCGCGATACCAGCTGCTTGCTCTTGGGGAGAATGAGGAGGATAGGAAGCAGGCGATGTTAAAGGGGATCCAGGAAGAGGACCGTGTGGCGGTTGTCCATATGGGCTAAGTTGAGGTGAGGCGGAAAGGTGACTGTGTCGCGACGCGGGCCGGGGCCTCGACGCTAGAGGCAAGTCC